CTCTTTGACCAATGTTGTTAGCTAAGTGTTTGATTGTGTAACGGGACTTTTACAGTGTAAAGCTTTACCTAACCAGCCTTAGTAGAGAGGCAGAGGGATTAGTAATGGCATTACATTATGACGTCATAGTTTCCGATGATGTCACAATGTCCTGTAAAGCACTGTGCGGCATATTCATTGTACATAGCAAAACCGCCTCTTGTCACCCAAGCGATATCTTGTAGAAGCCACTTTGGGAGGGTATAATTTTTAGGGCATTATATTAATGAGATAAAAATTAATGTGAGTTTAGGTCTTTTTTTCTCGGAGTCACAGCTAGTCACTTACACTTGCGGCAAAATTTACTGACCTCAAGGACCTCTGGTAGACTTACACAAGTGTCTGAGGCAGGCCCATAGCACCGATTTCAGAAGTGGGGGTCCCAAATTGCATTTTGGTAGTTCAGTGAGGGTGTGTGTGTGTGTGTGTGTGTGTGTGTGTGTGTTAGTGTGTGTGTAGAGGATTGACTTTTAAAGTAAACTTTAGTGTCAGAAAATACCACTATTATAATTATACTACAGATAACATTTTTTTTCAGATTCATTCCTACATCGAACATAAGAATTTTCCACATGTGAACAGCCTGTGTTCACTTCTTCTCACAAAGTCATTTGCTATATCTCTCAGGTTGAGGTAGTCTGTTTTGTCCCTGTGTACATGAAGGACCATCGAGTTGTTCAGACGCCTTTGGGTCATGGTGGATCTCAGGTATGTTTTCAACCTCCTAAGGCTACTGAAGGACCTTTCACTCGCTGAGTTTGTTGAAGGCATCACTTGGATGAGCTTTATAACAGTGACAACTTCAGTGAAGAGACTGCCACCTGTCTCCTTCACGTGGGCCATCACGTCTGAGACATCCAACTCTTTGCTTTTCGACATATTCACTGACAGAATATTCAGCTGTGTTGCAAAAGCGCAGCTATCAATATCTGATCCATAGAATTTGGAAAAAATGTCAAATTCGCTTGTGTAGTCTTTTCCTGCAGCAGCATTAAGGTGTGGAGTCTCCAGGTTCTGGTATATCATATAGCCAGGTTCATTAAACCTATCTCTGATGCAGCTGGTGACCAAGTCTAGAGACATGAAATACACTTGTCTGTAATTCTGTAATACTCCTCCACCAGGTACATGGGGGTGGGATGTGGTTAGGTGTGGTGGGGTGTGTGTGCTCCATCATCTATTCTCTTGGGTGGCCAGTTCGTCCTTGGTAGAACTGGCCTAGGCGACATCAAGTGGTGTGGCTTTGATTTTCTGGTTTTGCCAGAAGAGAGAGAAGCGTTAATCATTTCTGAGGCTTACTAAGACAGCTAAGGTTGCAGAAGCCATCTTCTGTCCACGTGCAGCTGATATGGTTCCCTGGAGAGATTTGCTGAGATTGTCACTGTTTCTCAAAATGCAGACGGTTAAGTTTGCACCAAAGAGGAAGTTAAATGTTCTCATGTATGCAGACACTCCTCTAATTCGACTTTTCATCTTCGAATCTTTGACATATTCCATAGCTTCATCCCATACTTCTAACAGCACATCGTAGTTGGCCATAACTCTTTCAATGGTGTCAACTTTCACAGGATGTCCAAAGAATGTTGAACATTCAAGTCAAAACATTGATTACACAACAGTCTCGTTTACTGCTGACTGGGTTCCGTTCTATAGGGCAACTTAGTACAAAATAAGCGTAAAAAACGCATAACAGGTGTAACCAGAGCCAGATGAATTTTACGACCTTATCTTTTGAAAAGACCAACACCGTCTTGGAAATACGATTTCTTTTAACTCTAAATACCATTTTCCTTATGAAACAAGTGATCTCGTGCTTGTGATGTCCAATTTTACACGAGGAAATTCGTCGGCTGAAAGAAGGTTTCAGTTTCTGATGGTATCTGAGCATGCAAGATTAAGTGCATGACCATAGCAATGAGTGTACACAGCTCTTGGCTTAATACCCATGATCACTGAAGCTACTCCTTTTTTCACCCCTGCCATATTTGCTGCCATGTCATAACATTGTCCTCTAACTTGAGACCAATTCAGATTCAACCTCCGGAGTACATCATTGATTGCCTTAAATATGGTTTTGGCTTCAATGTTTGCAACCTCGTAGAATCCAACAAATTCGTCATGTCCCTTAAAGTTCTCATCAATCCATCTGATGCAGACTACAAGTTGCTCTTTATTAGACACATCAACACATTCGTCTGCCATTATTGAAAATAAAGTTCTTTCTTGAACAGGTTGTAACACCTCTCGCAAGACTGAGTTTGCCATAACATCAAGAAGAAGATTTTGTATCTAAGGCGAAGTATACCTATCTGTTTTCCTTTTCAACCAATTACTCAGAATAGGATCATCTTTGGCTTGGAAGACAAGTAATTGAAGAAAGTTTGAATCAGTCTCAGTTTTGTCACCTCTGAAAGCTAGTCCTTGACGAGCAAGAAACTGTAGACATGACAGAATTTTTAGAAGACATTGTCTGTTCTCCTTTCTAGTTTCATCAAACTCTGTTGACAGCGAGTGTCTTTTTTGTATGCAGAGGCAATACAATTACTCTTTCAACTGATTCTTGATGACTTTTACTCTTCATGTTTCTCAAATTTCTCAGTACCCTTCTTCCAGTTGTTGTATCCGTCAAAAATGAAAGCTTTCTCTGTGCAAGGGTTAGAGAGTTTATTTTCTTGGATTGCTTTTATGCAAATGAAACCAAAGAGTGTTCATCATAATGAAGCGCGTGGTCCTGTGCTCAAAGCTTCAGGCCACAAATCGGTGAAGTTAAGCAGCGTCGAGCTCGGAGAGTCCTTGGATGGGTGACCGTGTTTGGCAGCTTGACTCCTGAGAGTTTCTAGGACTTGAGTCCTGCCCCACAACGAAGCACATGTGACACATGTGGTCTCACCTTAGGCAAGTGAGTTTGTTCAAAATTGTCTCTGTTCACCCAGCAGGAAAATGGGTACCCGGTGGAAAAAAGTCATATGACTATAACCTTCTAGCGCCTAACAGGCAGCTTGGGTTATCCGGGGTAATAATGGCCTTGATTGTTAGCGCTATGAGCATACCTAGTGTGGAGTTTGGCGCTATATAAATGGACACATTATTATTATTATTATTATTAAAGCACTTCCATTTCTGGAACCACCCAGTCTGGCATGTTCTCTTGTGAGTACCAATCTTACGCGTAGGAAATAGTTTCTGTGGTTGATGTGGTTAGTTACCAACATCTGGAATGTTTGTTAACTTTGCATCAACACGCTTTGCACTTTAAATGCGTCGCTTTTGGATTGATTGTTTTGAGTCTTCACTGACATTACATTGAAGTCAGAAACAGATGGTGTACAAGTGTTTTCATTCATTGATTCATTACTATATTTTGCATTCATGCACTATATTTTCCTTGCTGAGCAGTGGAATGTTTCTTGACACCTCGTTGAAAATAGTCAAAAATGCTTTTCTTTCTCTTTTTCTCAACATGTTGTTCATCTACTTTACCACTGCTTTTTCTTGCACTTGCAAGCAAATGAACAAGGTACAAAATGATTGGCTGGAAGATAGATCCAGGTCTGTTGTCAAGCATGCTGTCTCGAGTCCATAAAATGTACAGACGTCTATCCATACTACGAGGTTCTGAACGCATTACAGTTCTATTTAAAACTGACCTCATTGCATACTGGACATCAGGGTATACAGACACAATCTCACAGTACTCCTTCAGCACCTCTCCTAATGCACACATATGCAGAAATAAGCACCATTTCTTGTCATGGCAGTTCTTTTGGGCTTCAAATAATATTGCTCTCTCAAATTCCTTTGCTTCATCAAATATTCTCCAACCCTCATCTGAAAGCACCAAGTTTATATAAGCTCCATCTCCTTGGTCTTTGCACCTTGACATCATACTGGTGATAGTTAGACTAGAGAGAGTATAAGACCCTCGTTTCAAATAAAGTTCTGCACTAACTAAAATGCAAAGACATTTGGAAAGAGATTCATTGCCACAGAGATATAAGGAGGCTGAATTATACAGACAGTTTTCATCTCCTGTACTTCTGTATGCTCTGTAATTTTCAGAATGAACTGAGAAATCAGGAGGAATTAATGAGGTGGAAAGTTCATCAATAATCAAAGATGATTTTTCAGCATTCAACTCAACATTTCTGTTCAGAAATTATTTTTCTTTCCTCTGAATATCTAAAATAGGCATTTCGTCACGTCTGCAAATACTTTCCTCCATGTCAAATCGATGTTACTTTGTTTGCACTGCACTATCAAAGTGATGCTTGATGGACATGTGACACCTCGGTGCCAACATACTCAGCTGTAGTACAGACGCCGGCTACGTTCACTTTCTATGTAGCTATGATGAATTTAAACTTCTGAAAGACCTCACTTACACTGCATTTTCTGCGTGAAAGGGTGATAAATGACTTGTTACAATGAAAGATTTTTCATAATTAAAGAAATTATTATTTGTTTCTTATTTGGCACCCACACATCGTTATAAAGAATAAATTTTTGTTTCATTTCATCACATTAAAATTCCAGCTCCTGGCTGCTCAAAACATTTACTCCTGAAAAAAAGGAGGCCTGTTGCTACGGGCCTGTACGGTAATAATTAATAGTTTAAATAATTTCGAAACAATATAAATAACCCTCTAACAGACTGGCTGTCCGCATATCTAGACTTGCCCAATTAAAGGATAAAATTACTATACATCCATGGACTTAGCCTTGTGTAAGCCTTGGAGCAAGGCTAGGTAGGAGAGCGCGACTCACATTTTAAAACAATCCGCGATACTATAAATAGACTGATATCTTTATAGAATGGCACAGCAATTCTATTCATGTAAGGGTCCCTGTCTTCACGTGTCGCTTCAAACATTTTCATGATGCCAATATGGCAATGTTAAACCATGATTTAAAAAAATAAGAATTGTATGTAAAGTCTCGGCACGATTGCGAGATCCGGCGAGACGATTATCCAAAATGGCGTCTCGTAGCCATGTGGAAGTGAACGAAAGGAGACTGAGGCTTATATATGGTAAGACACGTGAAGATTATCGCTTATGTAGACGGTTGTATGGAAACACACTGGCTGAAAGCACAGGGGATGTTTCTGTGTGATTTGCTTTGAGCGATTTCAATGACTATCGGGATTTCCCCAGAGGTTACTGTGTCCAAAATAGTGTATACTGCGAAGTCATACAACTCAATCAGCTTGAAATAATCCTTCATCCCATGTTTCGCATGTATTTTCACACGAAGAATGGATACTGTGTTTCACGGTATAATGTACTATGATATGATCATTGGCCTCAATGGACTGCTTTCGGACAAGAGGCTCTTTTCTCTCTTTGAATGCAGATGCCACAAAACCTAGGGCTATTGACACTTGGTATTGTCTTGATACCGGGATGGTAATCAGATCTTGTTGTTTTTTATGCTTAAAGCATGTTTGGACGTTGCCATAGTGGGGAGTGTTTGTGTAACCCTTTTTTTAAGATATATCTTTCACACTTGTCACAAATATTCATACTCATAACGATCTAGTCCAGCATATAACTAGACGTCTTTGCACTATACCAAGGTGTGCTCGATGTAGGCCTTGGCTGGAATACGAGTTTATTCATATGAACTAATGACGATCTGGACTAGAATTGGTCTTCAACTCATGCTTGTCGTTAGAGCGACTAACAGGATTGGGTGGTCAGTTTTGGTAACCATGGTAACTTGACTGATGCATGTCATCATATCCCAGTTGCAAATGCTTATAATGTGAATCATGGGATTATCAATCCTAGACTCCATTATTTACACACCACTGTTATACAGCTGAAAGATGAAAGAGTGCAGCATTAAACAACAAACAAATAAACATAAATCATAAATGTTCAAAAGAATGCACCAGCTATTCTGAAACAAGAACGCTGTAAATTGGTTCAGGAGTTTCAGGTAATATAGACGGATAAAATGGTAAACAAACAAAAGCCAGTTCCACCCACCCATCCCATGCCAACCGTAATCCATTCAATTGGTAATTTACAGTTGTAACATATTGTTAGAACATGATTCAAGTGATATTTTACTGAGGTTGACAATTTCCCTGCATACCAGGGAAGATATATTCCAGTGGGCATGATCCACTTTCAGTCCTAATTGAGACCCTGTGTCCTTGCATATCCTATTTTCAAACAATCAAGAGATTTTGCTGATATAAGCTATAACATGTGAAGCAGCACCCTAATTTACATTCACTTCTCTTCAACAAATCATGATCAACATGACTTCAAATACAAGGTCATGTGTGAATTTACTTGACATTTAGGCAATCATGAATTGCCAAATTGATGTTATATATTGATTGTTTCTTGTTATTATTGTGAATCTGTCATGGCATGATAAATGGCACATATGTTGCAGTGTCATTCATTGAAACAGTTGTTAGATATATCAACTGTCAAGTATCACAATGTATCAATATAATGCATGATTTCACAATGAATTTTGCTGTGTCATGCAGTGTACATATTGATTTTAAAAATAATAAATACACTATCTACTTAACTTATATTGCAAAATGCAGTGACCATGCACAAAGTTGGTTGGTTAGTTGTTGTTTAATGCCGCTCTCAGGAGTATTTGAGCTATATGGCAGCGGTCTGTAAATAATCGAGTCTGGACCAGACAATCCAATGATCAACAGCATGAGCATTGATCTATACAACTGGTACACAATGACATGTGTCAACCAAGTCAGCGAGTCTGACTACCCGATCCCGTTAGTCGCCTATTACGACAAGCAGCATTATACAAGAACGAAACCAAAGCAGTCTAATGTCCCCATCTGTGATATTGCTGAAATATTGCTAAAGGCTCTAGACTAAAAGCTCAGGATTCACTGATTTTGGGTTTGAAAATTGAATCCCAATTAATATTTTTGTGTCGAATATTAGGTGTAGAGATACAAGATATTGATAGGTGGTCAAAGCTTTCCCATGAACTGTGATGACAGAAAGTGAATTGGGTGATAATGGTATTTTGAAAAAAGTATAGACATGATTAAAAAGCACTTAAAGCCTCTATCTATGTTTTGGTTTCTGCCTAAACCAGAATTGGTCCCCATTACATCTAACCTGATAAATGAGGATTGTACATCATCATGGTCAACAGTTTGGATTGATGTTCATGCTATCAACCCCTGATTTGCCTTATCTAGGCTTCCATATTCACACGGGCGATAGGGTAGCCTAGTGGTTAAACTAAAGCGTTCGCTCGTCATACCAAAGGCCCAGGTTTGATTCCCAACATGGGTACCACTTCTGGTGTCCTCAGCTGTGATATTGCTATAATAGTACTAAAAGACAACTCGCTCACACTCCATATTTACAGGTTGTATTGACAAAGCTCAATTCTGTTGATTGTTGTGCTTTAAAACTTTCAGGCTCAGGCGTTATTCATTGTTTCTTCCCAAATTTCTGGCATTCTTGGTCGGAGATGTCATAATATGCTTACCTCCTCATTCATTGATCATTTAGATGCGTTTTTGTGTGACATGCAGAATTTCCCTGTCTGTGATCAGGCAGTCATGCGAATGATTCACCCCCTCTCAGATAGTCACTTGTATTAGTAACAGGGACAGTCTCGCGTACACGTTACTTCCTCTACTGTTGATTCAAATTGGAATATGTCCTACTTACTAAGTTCGTGATTTTGTGCATGAATATATACCTGAAAAAAGAAATGTGAAATGGCTAATAATATAGAGCTTTTATGACCAAAATAACATGTCTCACTGAAGGCAGTATTAAAGTGCTGTTTTAAAATATCTGAAATTAAGGAAATAACTTTAATTAAGTTTTAACAATTAGGCTCCCAACATGACATTTGATTGACAGACCATATCAGACAAACCCATCATTTCATGTTGTCATGGTTACAGACTGCCTGGACAATGGCAACAACAAGAAGGCGATCCAGGAGGCAGATAAAGTCCTCAAGAAACAGAAAGATTTCCAGTGTGCCAAGGTGAGATGCAAGCCCTGCTGTCAGGACAGTGGGGTTGTATGTGACATACTTGATGACTACCTAATAGTAGGGATAGGGGTTAAGTGTGGAGTGGGGGGCGGTGGGGTAGCCTAGTGGTTAAAGCGTTGGCTGGATCCGGGAGATTCCCCATGGGCACAATGTGTTAAATTTCTGGTGTCCCCGCCCGTGATATTGCTGGAATATTGCTAAAAGCAGCGTAAAACTAAACTCAGTCAGTCAGTCAGTAAGTGTGGAGTGGGAGTATGAAAATGGAGGGAGAATGGTTTGTAAATAATTATTACTAATTTTGTTTCAGTATATATAGAGAATCTCACTCAGTGTCTACTGATATCAATTATATCAACATGAGTTGATAAAGTTATAAATATTCAAGGCTTACCGAGGATATTTTTACTTTTATCTGACAAGTTTTTGATATATTTGATATCAGAAGACACTAGGGTGAGATTCTAATTATCATAAAGAATCACTCTTCATTAGTTTTCAGTGTACATCTCTGAACACGGTACTTGCAGTGCAGTGATGTCATAGCAAGTTTATGATGTCATAGCATTGTGACATCATCAGGTTTTTGACGTCATAGCATTGTGAGCCATGTAATTGATGATGTCAAAGCATTGCAATCTAATGTAATTGACATTGTATAAAATTACTGTCTAAACGATATCTCCGAGGATATATTGTTTGTATCTCACACAAGCAACATTTCCAGTGAAACACAGTTTTTGATGATAAACAGTGATATTTACACATGTGTGTTTAGGGGCAGTGGGGTAGGCCAGTGTTTAAAGTGTTTTTTCATCATGTCGAAGACCTGGGTTCGATTCCCCACATGGGCACAGTGTGTGAAGCCCATTTCTAGTGTTCCCCACCATGATGTTGCTGGAATGTTGCTAAAAGTGTCACAAAACCATACTCACTCAGATGTGTGTTTACATGATGTGATTTATAAGTATACTTTTAAAACGAAAATGTGTGCTCTCTTCTCTCTTTCTAATCTCTCCAGGGAATGCGTTTAAATGAAGTTTCAAGCTAGATTTAAGGTTTATTTCCTCTCGTCCACATAGATAACTGGCTCTTGTGTTGCCTTCCATGTAATGGTAAAAGTGGCGTCACTTTATACTCATTGAAATTTAATTAGACCTATGTTACTTTTGAAGCATGCTGGAAATCTATCCCTTATAGGACTTGACCAATTTAATGCTTCTTCACTGTACGAACTAAAGTTACAAAGATGTCTGATGTCATCATTATATGACCAAATGAACTGTCATTTCCAGTCCCTGGAAGTACCGACAATTAGAAATCACAGTAGTCATGGTAATGTTAGAGAAATTGTAGAATATTGTTTTCCAACCCTTTTGTGAGGATGTAATATTTTGAAAATGGTGTAATTAATGCCAAATATTTTCAGGTTCTCAAAGCGCTGGCGATGTTGCGACTGGGCCGTCATGACGACAGCTCAGCAATCCTGCAGGAAGTCCATGCTCAGCATCCCCACAATGAGGCTACGCTACAGGCGATGTCCATTTGCTACAGGGAAGTTCATAAGAGTAAGTGCATCCTGTATCCGTTTTCTTCAAAATAGATAGTACAATCATTGATAACTAACAGCTTTTGTATCCCAGTTACATAGAATGATTCTCATAGTATCAGTCACCAGATTGTCCAGGTCTAGATTTGATTATTTACCTATCTCTGTAATATAGCTGGAATATTTCTGTATAATGCCTAAAATGACAAGCATTCTCCTACAATAGAAAATGAAAACCCTGAGATTTCTGGGAAGAAAATGTCCCATGCTACTTGACCCACATGGGTACAATGTGTGAAGCCCATTTCTGGTGTCCCCTGCCGTGATATTGCTGGAATATTGCTAAAAGTGGCGTAAAACCATACTCACTCCCATGCTATTGATGAGAGTGGACTTGATGGGTCAAACTTGGTCACTTGGTTGTTAGTGTGCATCGTTGGTCTTGATATGAATCACTGGCTTGCATTGTCCAAACTTCATTATATACATGTTGGAGTGTCGGGGACTGTGATAAGCATGGAAACACATGATTATCCCAATTATTGTGTGGAACAGTGGAGCTGATTGCTGACCTGTACGAGAACGCCCATAAGTCCCGACCTGACAATGAGGAAATCCTGTCAGCGTTGTTCATGGCTCATGTGCGACTTGGTGACTACAAGAAACAGCAGCTGACTGCGATGTCGCTGCACAAGCTGCGGCCACAGAAGAACCCCTACTACTTCTGGGCAGTGATGAGCATCATAATGCAGGTGAGAGGTGAAAGTCATCACTTGATCAGGTTTAATATGTAATACGTGTATATTGCAGGTGTGTGATATGTACATGTGTATATTGCAGGTTTGTGATATGTACATGTGTATATTGCAGGTGTGTGATATGTACATATGTATATTGCAGGTGTGTGATAAGTACATGTGTGCATTGCAGGAATGTGATATGTACATATGTATATTGCGCAGCCATAGTGATATGTGCATGTGTCTATTGCACGAGTGTGATATGTACATATGTATATTGCACGTGTGTGATCTGGACATGTGTGTATTGCAGGAATGTGATATGTACATATGTATATTGCAGGTGTGTGATATGTACATATGTATATTGCAGGTGTGTGATATGTACATGTGTGCATTGCAGGAATGTGATATGTACATATGTATATTGCAGGTGTGTGATATGTACATGTGTGCATTGCAGGAACGGATATATGGATGTGTATATTGCAGGTGTGTGATATGTATATGTGTCTATTGCAGCAATGTGATATATGGATGTGTATATTGCAGGTGTGTGATATGTATGGGTGGGTATTGCACAGAATTTTCATATTGCAATATATTGCGATGCGAAAGCATGTATTGCAATATGTATTGCAATATATTGCCTGGAGTATTTTTAAACAAAAAACTACTTATAAGCGAGTTAATGCTTGACTTATAGAGCAAAAACACAACAAAATCACTATGCTTGATTAAGCTTTAATTACAACTTTTAAATGTCATAAAATAAAAATGTGAAGAATATTTGGCACAAATGAAATAAGGAAATTTCCGAAGATTTCCGAGTGTTGTGAAATTTTCTGAATGCAAGTCAAAATACCGGTTTTCAACCAGCGTATTGCAATACGTATCGTTTTCATGTCTGAACCGGTACATACCGGTAAACCGGTTATATTGCGCAGCCCTAGTGATATGTGCATGTGTCTATTGCACGAGTGTGATATGTACATATGTCTATTGCAGGAATGTGATATATGGATGTGTATATTGCAGGTGTGTGATATGTACATGTGTCTATTGCAGGAATGTGATATTGCAGGAATGGATGTGTATATTGCAGGTGTGTGATATGTTCATGGTATATTGCAGGGGCATGATATTTATGTGTTTATTGCAAGGTTGTTATGTGTGAATGTGTATATTGATGACCAGACTGAATATGTAGAACAGTGTCCCTAAATGTCAGCCTAGTCAGTCAGTCAGACATGTACACGTCTATTACAGGCTCACAGCGCCACAGACAAGAAGCTAGCAACCAGCATGTACCTGCCACTGGCTGAGAGGATGACCAAGAAGTATGTTACAGAGGGCAAGGTTGAAGCCGAAGCAGGTCAGCATGTCCACTGCAAGCAAACAAAATCTCATAATACTAAAATACATTTGTGGTATATATTTCCCTCTCACTGGTGTGTTCCTAGTGTATATTATATTGTAATTGGTTTTGAGCAGATTTGTAGTGGCATTTAGTGTAAATGCTTGTTTATATAGTAGTGTGAAATATCTGCATACCAGTGAAGTCAGAAAAGCTTTGTGTTAACAGGATTTACCTTTACAGGGGGGTCTACTCCCATTTGTGAGAACTCCCAGTTGTGAGACTCCCAGTTGTGAGACAGTGGAGTAGGTACTTAGTGGAGGTAACTTAATGAAACTCTAAAAGATAAAGTAATTAACCTACTCAGATAAATGGCTTTAAAAAATAAACACTTTGTGTAGGTAACTTCGTGATCTTTTGAAAGAGAAATTAATTTACCTACTCAGATTTACGTGTTTGAAAAATCTAGCAATAACTGTTGTAACAATAATTAATCCAAATGTATTTATTAACCTTTGACTGCTCTTTCCGATCACCATTATGGCAGGCCTTCAACAAGTAGAATATATCACCAGTAATTCAGTATCTATTGAAAACAATAAATGCTCTTCAACGAACAATGTCTTCTGTGTTAATTAACTCATTAATGAACTATGCCTCCTGCGGGTACTCTTCAGCAACAGGGCTGTTCCCACTTTCATCGTAGGGATGGGGAAGCACCACCCGTGTGCACTGAACCATTAATTAATGTGTCTCACAATTGGGAGTTCTCACAAATGGGAGGACACCTACAGGGGTAATAACTGTTTGAAGAGCACAGGTAGAGGGTTTGGATTTATGGAAGTTTGTAATTTAGTACAATCATATCCTGACAAAGTAATCCAGCAAGTTCAATTTTTATTCTAAACTATTAACAGAAACCTGGCCAGTTTTTTTAGCCTTGTGTGGAATGTGAAAGTGCTTGTGTGCAATTTTATCAGTCCCTTTGTGATCAGTTGCAATTAATGTTAAAAAATAATTTGCATCTGATCAATAATGATGACTTTGTCCCATTTCAGAAGTATTGTTGTACCTGATGATTCTGGAACAGATGGAGAGATGGGAGGATGCAGCACAGCTGCTGGAGGGGCCTCTTGGGGGTGAGTGTATGTGGGCTGGAGGGGCCTCTTGGGGGTGAGTGTATGTGAGCTGGAGGGGCCTCTTGGGGTGAGTGTATATGGGCTGGAGGGCCACATGGGGGTGTGAGGGTATGTGAGGGTATGTGAGGGCCTCTTGGGGTGAGGTGTATGTGGGCTGGAGGGGCCTCTTGGGGGGGAGTGTATGTGGGCTGGAGGGGCCTCTTGGGGGTGAGTGTATGTGGGCTGGAGGGGCCTCTTGGGGGTGAGAGTGTATGTGTGCTGGAGGGGCCTCTTGGGGGTGAGTGTACATGTATTGGAGGGGGCCCCATTGGGATGAGGTGAGTATGTGTGTTGGAGGGGCCTCTTGGGGTGAGGGTATATGTGTGTTTAAGGGGCTCTTGGGGAGGTGAGGGGTAAATATGTGTTGAGGGGCCTCTTGGGGGTGAGGGTAAATATTTGTTGGGGGCCACTTGGGGATGTAGGGTATATGTGTTTGAGGGGCCCTTTGGGGTGAGGGTATATGTGTGTTGGAAGGGGCCCCTTGGGGAGGAGGGTATGTGTGTTGGAGGGGCCACTAGGGGAGGAGGGTGTGTGTGTTGGAGGGGCCACTTGGGGAGGAGGGTATATGCGTTGGAGGGGCCTCTTAGGGGTGACAGTATTGAGAGTGATTTTAGTTTTAAGCAGCACTGAGCACTATTCCAGCTATATAGCAGCGGTCTGTAAATAATTGAGTCTGGACCAGACAATCCAGTGATCAACAGCATGAGCATCGATCTGCGCAATTGGGAACTGATGACATGTGTTAACCAAGTTAAGTTAGCGAACCTGACCACCCGATGCCGTTAGTTGCCTCTTACGACAAGCATGGGTTACTGAAGATCGCATAAAAAAAGGGCCTCTTGGGGATGAGGGTATGTGTGCTCGAGGGGCCTCTTGATGGTGAGAGTATGTGTGCTGGAGGGGCCTCGTGGGGATGAGGGTATGTGTGTTGGAGGGGCCTCTTGAGGGTGAGAGTATGTGTGTTTGAGGGGCCTCTTGAGGGTGAGGGTATATGCGTTGTAGGGGCCTATTTTGGGTGAGGGTATGTGTGTTGGAGGGGCCTATTGAGGATGAGGGTATGTGTGTTGGAGGGTCCTCTTGAGGGTGAGGGTATGTGTGTTGGAGGGTCCTCTTGAGGGTGAGGGTATATTTGTTGGAAGGGCCTCTTGAGGGTGAGGGTATGTGTGTTGGAGGGGCCTCTCGAGGGTGAGGGTATGTGTGTTGGAAGGGCCTCTTGAGGGTGAGGGTATATGTTGTTTGCAGGGGCCTCTTAGGGGTGAGGTATGTGTGTTGGAGGGGCCTCTTGAGGGTGAGGGCATGTGTGTTGCAGGGGCCTCTTGAGGGGTGAGGGTATGTGTGTTGGAGGGGCCCCTCGAGGGAAGGAGGGTTTGTGTGTTGGAGGGGCCTATTGAGGGTGAGAGTATATGTGTTGCAGGGGCCTCTTAGGGGTGAGGGTATGTGTGTTGCAGGAGCCCTTAGGGTGAGAGGGTATGTGTGTTTGATGGGCCTTTGAGGGTGAGAGCATGTTGTGTTGGGGGGCCTTGGGGGTGAGGGTATGTGTGTTGCAGGGCCCCTAGGGGGGTGAGGGTATGTGTGTTTGATGGGCCTTTTGAGGGTGAGGGTATGTGTGTTGCAGGGGCCTATTGGGGGTGAGGGTATGTGTGTTGCAGGGGCCCCTTAGGGGTGAGGGTATGTGTGTTGCAGGGACCTATTGAGGGTGAGGGTATGTGTGTTGCAGGGGCCTATGAGGGTGAGGGTATGTGTGTTGCAGGGGCCTCTTGGAGGGTGTGTGTGTGTGAAGAAATGTGTATTGGAGTTCTTGGGTGTGAGGGTATGTGTTTTGGAGGGGCCACTTGGGTGTGAGGGTATGTGTTTTGGAGGGGCCACTTGGGTGTGAGGGTATGTGTTTTGGAGGGGCCACTTGGGTGTGAGAGTATGTGCTTTGGAGGGGCCACTTGGGTGTGAGGGTATGTGCTTTGGAGGGGCCACTTGGGTGTGAGGGTATGTGTTTTGGAGGGCCAGATTGGGTTGAAGGAATGTGTTGGAGGGTTTGATAGTGTGGTTTCTGTCCTGGGAGGCTTTTGGGCGTGAATATGAGATTTTTACTTTGAATGTGATGACATCAAAACTGTCCATTGTACATGCAGGCATTTGTGTTCATTCTAAACATGATCAGTCATCAGCTGTCATTGTCCTAATGTTATTTCAGAGAAGTTCGTGAGTGAGCTGAATTTCCGTGCCACGAAACTGGCTGAGCTGTACAGGAAGCTGGAGAAGTGGCCCAAGGCCAATGCTGAGTACCGCCAGTTGCTAGTGCAGAAGTAAGTTGATACAGCGGCAGGGGATTTATCTTGGCCCTGCTCATAGGCTCATATTCAGACCTAAGAATACAGTTAATGTCAGTGTAAATCTCAAAATTTGTTACCTTTTGAAGATCCGGGTTAGAATTGGTCTTAAGCAACCCATGCTTGTCGTAAGAGATGACTCACAGGATCGGGTGGTCAAGCTTGTTGATTTGGTTGACACATGTCATCGTATCCCAATTGCGTAGGTTGATGCTCATGCTGTTGATCGCTGGATTGTCTGGTCCAGACTCAAACCTTTACATACTTAGTGTGTGAAATGTTATTGGATGCAAGTTACAGTTGCATCAATTCACTCATACTACAGCAATCATAAAAATTTCAATCAGCCTTATGTCTTCATGTATGTTAGAAAACACTTTAGTAAGCCTTTCACTGTTAGCTGTAGCCGTTACATACATTGTGTGTTATATACAAGTACGTTTTATGTTACAGCCCTGACCAGTGGCAGTTCTGGTCGGTATACATCGATACAGTGTTCCACCTGGTGGACTGTCAGTGGGTGCCCGACGAAGGTGATCAGTGGTCAGTGTTACCATGGTAACTGTAGGGCTAATAACAGATCGGGGAATGGGGTGGTGTTGTAGTGATATGGTAACTGCACAAGCATAATGTAGCTGTTACCATGAAATTCAGGCCATATTGTACAAGAGATGTTAAAGAGGGCTCTTGGTTTTACCATGCCTGGTAATCAGCCCACCTCACCAGCACTATTTCTCTCAGAAGACTTTATCCAAGCAACCCGTGAAGATCCGGAATAGAATAGGTCTTCAGCAACCCATGCTTGCCACAAAAGACGACTATGCTTGTCGTAAGAGGCGACTAACGGGATCGGGTGGTCAGGCTTGCTGACTTGGTTGACACATGTCATCGGTTCCCAAATGCGCAGATTAATGCTCATGCTGTTGATCACTGGATTGTCTGGTCCAGACTCGATTATTTACAGACCGCCGCCATATAGCTGGACTATTGCTGAGTGCGGCGTAAAACTAAACTCACTCACTCACTTTATCCAAGCATTGTTCAAAATTGAGGTGGGTCATGGAGGTTTGCTGGAATACTTGTTAAGTCGAGTGACACCTAAGCCTTGAACTTTCAACTCTGGGGTCATGACAAGGATGCCTTAACTGTCAAGTCACAAACACACAGATTGACAGCAAAGGTGCATTCTCTGATATGACTGTGATATTGAAAATTATTGTGCAGAAGTGTACAACATGAACTCACTGTGACTGTAAAGATCGTATTATTTTCAGCGCTCTAATAGATTACTCTGTGGAGAAAGCCCTGGCCTTCATCACCGAGCAGATCAAGGGATGTGAGAACGGAAGACTATATCGGGGCCCTTATCTTGCTCGTCTTGAATTAATACGACTACTACAGAACAGAGGCGAGGACAGCATCAGCATTGTAGGTCAGTGTCAGCAATGTAGGTCAGAGTCAGCATTGGTGGTCAGTTCTGGGTATATTCCACTGAAAGGTTGGTGCAACTTCCATGCAAGTTCTGTGTAATTCTGGGTTCTGACATACTTTGCTTGTCAACAGAATGAGCTTATGAGGACTGTTTCGTTTCATTGTTTATCACTGTGTGGACTTAAAGACCTTAGAAGAAGGCCTCAGGCCTTCGGTGTGACGAGAGAATGCTTTAACCGCTAGGCTACCCCACCACCCTGCATGTCACTGTAATCCATTTGAGTAAAGCAATGCTCATGATGTCAGTCACTGGATTGTTTGGAGCAGACTGAATTTTTTCATACCGCAGACTGTAGTATTATTGCATACCGCAGACTGAATTATTACATACCGCAGACTGAATTATTGCAAATCGCAGACTGAATTATTACATACCGCAGACTGAATTATTGCATACCAGAGACTGAATTATTACATACCGCAGACTGAATTATTACATACCGCTGTCATATAGCTTGAATATTCAAAGTGCAAAATGCCATCATACGATTTTATTGCTAAATATGATAGTAATGATACAAAAAAAAGCATTCATGTATATTCATCCCTGCATGTGTTCCTGTTTTCCAGGCTGTCCCCTGACTCTGCTGAAGCAGTATTTCGACAAGTACAGCGACAGAAGCACCTACTTCGGGGACATGAAGCTGTTTGTGGGCATCCTTAATGACAAGGAGAAGGAGGAGGTAGGTGTTTCCTTATAGCTCGCCGTTGGGCAATAGAGTGGTGTAGTGGCAGTGTAGGGAAGATGTAGAAAATCTAGCCGGTCAAATTTTTTACCAGTCCTGCCAAAATCTAGCCTGTCCTCCAAATATAAATAAAACACCTTCGGCAGTAAATATTCAAAAAGGTTACAATCATTATATATATGTCATTGGTTTGCTAAAATTGACCCAACATGAGGATGGACTAGATATTTTTTTAACCCGTCCTCCACAAAATTCACCCGTCTCGGACGTTGGGATGGGCTATCTTTCCTACACTGGTAGTGGTTAAAGGGTATGCCAGAGATGCCAACCTCTACGATTTTATCATAGTTGCTACGAATCTTAGCCTCAAACTACGGCAATACGATTGCACTAGAAATTCTACGAAATTTGAAAAAAATTGATTAAAATTCGCATACATAGACAAAAATAGTAGTTTCAAGGATCAAAATTAGTAGTTTGACCATAAAATTATTAGTCAACTAAATACTTAATGATGTATTCTGATAAAGATAATATGACACTAAACAAGAGTGAAGCTTTAATTTCACATATGTCCAACAGTAGATTTCCAAATTATCAGCAATACATTTCTTCTTGTTGTCTCTTTTAAGCGAAAATGTATTTAATCTACGAAAAAATATGTTTGCAACACTTTGGGGTTGGCATCTCTGGGGTATGCTTGTCACAAGGAAGGCCGGGGTTTGTTCTCTACTTTGGAATAATGTATGAAGGCCATATTGCTGGAATATTGCTTAAAGCAGTGTAAAAACCTACTCCTCTCACTATATCTTCAGGATCTGGGGTAGCCTAGTGGTTAAAGCGTTTGCTCGTCACGCCGAAGACCTGGCCTCGACTACCCACATGGGTATTATGTCTGAAGCCCATTTTGGTTCGGTTCCCCACGTGGGTACATTGTGTGAAGCCCATTTCTGGTGTCCCCCACCATGATATTGCTGGAATAATGCTAAAAGCAGCATAAAGCTGAATTCACTCCCTCACTCACTTACTCACTACATCTTCCATGTACTTAACTAGCTTTTTATCACAACCCACTCACTCACTCACTCCATCTTCCATGTACTTAACTAGCTTTTATCACAGCCCATGTCACATTCTGATACATTCTGGCAGCCACATTGGCTGAGTGGGTTAGATCTCTGAAGTAATGTGTTGGCGATCATGTGCATGATTCTGAGAGACTGTTCAAATCCCAGACGCGACTCAACCCAACAAAAGTACTAAAATCTGTATTTTACTGAGAAAGTGTAATGCCAAATATATCATGTTACCTTTGACCAGACCGCCTCCGTGGTGTAGTGGTTAGAGAGTCCGCCCAGAGAGCTAAGATCGCTGTACAACAGGGCCCTGATGTGCCTAGGTGGACCAGTCATCTAAGGCACCTCAATTCGTTTTGTACAGTTGCGTTCCTTGGGCTTGCCAGAACGCTATGATCATTGGGGACCGCCTCGGTGGTGTAGTGGTTAGAGAGTCCACCCAGAGAGCTCAAGGTCGTGGGTTTGATCCCCGACCGCGTCATACCAAAAGACGTTAAAATATGGTACTTGTTGGTCCCTGCCTGGCGTTCGTCTTTAATGGGTTCAACAAGGACTGGTCGGCTCGGAGTCAGTATAATGTGTCTGAGTTGGGTATTCATGCTTCACTGCGGCATGGTATCTCAGTGGGCTAGCACTATAAAACCAGCTTCAGCCTGGGCTAGTACAAGCAGCCGCACCTACACATACACACGCATGCACATTGTCATATGAGCGAAATATTCTTCAGCGCGACGTTAAACCCAATTTCACCTCACCTCACCTCACCTTTGACCACTTTCTAAATGGCTTTGTATATTCATAGCTTTCGGCTGTGGGAGCCGTGCCAATTTTCACTTCTCAGAGGGGTACACAAAGTCAATGGTCTTAGACTACCAGTTGTCCGACTTACATTTCTGTGGAAGCTGCGATGGCTAAGTGGGTCAGACGGGTGACTCATTCGTGACCCACTCATGTTATTCCTGGGACAAGCCAAACAGCGACTCGTGCCCCTCTGGAAGGATTTCATATTGGCGTAGGAACATCAGAACTACTTCAAACAGGAACCATAACTCTATTCCTGTTTGATACCAATGGTACTTAATACCACCGAAGTACTCATACATTGTATTGCTGTTTTTATCCCCCTCAACGCGTTTTGTGGGGTATTAAATGGACTCCGTTAAATGAATTCGTCCGTCTCATCCGTCAATCCACATTTGTCTTTTCCGAGAGCAGAACTCTAAAACCATTCAATATTTATTCACCAAACTTAGCACATAGATAGATCTGGTGGTGTACTGGTGCCTTTTGGTAGTTTTGGAATTCTGAATTAAATATTTTTACGCTTCTGTGGCAACAAGTTTGACTTAGACTGAAATTGGTGGTAGTGCTCTTTCCGAGCAGAACTCTAAAACCGCTTCACTTTTTCTCTTCACCAAACTTGGCACATAGATAGATTGTGATGGTGTACTGGTGCCTTTTGGTAGTTTTGGAATTCTGAATTAAATATTTTTGGCGTTTCCATGGCAACAAGTTCGACTTAAAATGAAATTAGTGGTAGTGCTCTTTTCCTGAGCAGAACTCTAAAACCGTCCAATGTGTCTTCACCAAACTTGGCACATAGATAGATCTGGTGGTGTACTGGTGCCTTTGGTAGTTTTGGAATTTGAATTAAAATATTTTTGGCGCTTCCATGGCAACAAGTTCGACTTAGACTGAAATTGGTGGTAGTGCTCTTTTCCGGAGCAGAACTCTAAAACCGTTCAATATGTCGTCACCAAACTTGGCACATAGATAGATCTGGTGGTGTACTGGTGCCTTTTGGTAGTTTTGGAATTCTGAATTAAATATTTTTGGCGTTTCCATGGCAACAAGTTTGACTTAGCCTGAAATTGGTAGTAGTGCTCTTTTCCGGAGCAGAACTCTAAAACTGTTCAATGTTCTTCACCAAACTTGGCACATAGATAGATCTGGTGGTGTACTGGTGCCTTTTGGTAGTTTTGGATTTCTGAATAAAATATTTTTAGCGTTTCCATGGCAACAAGTTTGACTTAGACTGAAATTGGTGGTAGTGCTCTTTTCCGGAGCAGAACTCTAAAACCGTTCAGTGTTTCTTCACCAAACTTGGCACATCGATAGATCTGGTGGTGTACTGGTGCCTTTTGGTAGTTTTGGATTTCTGGATATAATATTTTTGGCATCAGGGGTGGAAATAACTTGCTAGTGTACTCCGCTACAGTGGCACATGTAAATCACTTGCCCTGATCATTTTCCCACTATATGGGCCGCTTTTCTGATTTTTAAATAAACAACATTATTAACATTGAAAGTCAACTGGTTGTGCTCAGCCATGGATATACAAATTTGCTTGCCCGACAGAAAAAAAAAACACTGGACTCAAACGCCATGCAATGGGTTATTTCCATCCCTGGGCATTTCCATGGCAACAAGTTTGACTTAGATTGAAATTAGTGGTTGTGCTCTTCTCCCTTGTAGAACTCTAAAACCGTTCACTATTTCTTCACCAAACTTGTCTGGTGGTGTACTGGTGCCTTTTGGTAGTTTTGGATTTCTGAATGAAATATTTTTGGCGTTTCCATGGCAAGAGGTTTGACTTAGACTGAAACTGGTGGTAGTGCTGATTTCTGGAGCAGAACTTTTAAAACCTTTTAATACTCTCCTTCCCCTTTTCTATATACACACCAAAACATTTGACATAATCATAACTCGTAGACATATTCATGAAGAGTATTTTGCCATTGCGGGGGATATCGATGACTTTGTCTTCTTGTTATCAAAGCACCCCAACCTTTACGCACGTTCTGATTGGTTTGTCATATTTTCGCTCATAACAAGCATCGAGACGGGGACGAGTCTTCTTGGAGGTTACGGAAAGGGGCGAGTGGTGATGAATGACGGGTTACTGTCTGTGCTGGCGATTATGTGCTTGACTCTGAGAGTGTGGGTTCAAATCCCAGATGAGAAAGTGTAATCCCAAATATAACCTGTGTTACATGCCTAGATTTCTGAAACTGAAGATGTTCTCAAGACTCTCTAACATATTCTTTTCAGAGACAGTGGTATCATGACTGTTGTGTAATGGTATGTCTGTGTTTAACGTGGGGCGGTGGGGTAGCCTAGTGGTTAAAGCGTTTGCTCGTCACGCCGAAGACCTGGGTTCGATTCCCCACATGGGCACAATGTGTGAAGCCCATTTGTGGTGTCCCCCGCCGTGATATTGCTGGACTATTGCTAAAAACGGCGTAAAAACCATACTCACTCACTCACAGTGTTTAAGGTCCTTGACATATTGTATTAACCTGTGTTGCAGCTCCTGGTGTACATAACAGAGTCACTCAATCTTAACAAGCCGGGAGAACCCACCATCTATGCTCAAGATGTAAGTCACAGATCCAAAGAACATCAAAATTTAATAATGGTTAAATATAAATGTGAAGCTTGTTCTACAAGATAAATAATTTAGCTACTATTTCTGCTGTGGAGAATTTCATTGAAACATTCATTTGACCAAATTCTACAGCTTATCAGGTTCAGTTGCAGATAGATTAGTGATGTGAATTGATTGTGATGTCAATTTGACCAATGACATCATAATGGACTGCAAAGCATTGTTATGCTATATCATTGTAGTAACATCTCCAAGGAGATACTAAATGTTGGACCCGTGAAGATCCGGGGTAGAATAGGTCTTCAGCAACCCATGCTTGCCACAAAAGGCGACTATGCTTGTCGTAGGAGGCAACTAACGGGATCAGCCGGTCAGACTCGCTGACTTGGTTGACACATGTCATCGGTACTCAATTGCGCGAATCGATGCTCATGCTGTTGATCACTGGATTGTCTGGTCCTGACTCGATTATTTACAGACCGCCGCCATATAGCTGGAATATTGCTGAGTGCGGCGAATAAAAATTCACTCACTCACTCACTCACTAAATGTTGCTTCAATCTACTGTATGATAAAATAATGAGTGTTAATTTAAAAAATGCTTTGTGTTTTCTTCAGATCAAGCACATGCAGCGTCATATATCAGTATTACAACTTAGTCGATACATAGGACAGCACAGGGCCATGACGGACTCTGATAAAGTCACTCTAGCCAAAGATCTCTTAGATAGGCATAAAAAAGGACTTGAATTTGGTAAGTTTGTCATTTTGTATTGTATCAGTAAGTTCACAGCAGTTAGGCACGGATGAGATGGGTGATCATGTGTCGCTGTAACTGGGCGTTGTGTCTGCATGCTCATATTATCAAGCTGGTCTGGATATGTGAGATATTTGTGATGGGATGTAGCTGTGAGGGTGCTGATTTGAGGCAGACAAAAAATTCTATTCACTCAGTGATAATTTGTAGAGATGTTTTTGTCTGGTGATGTATTCTATTTTTGGTTAATTGATGGGTATCTCCCCATGTTGCAGGTACGGAGCTCCTTCCAACAGATTTACAATACAGCGACAACTATCTCATTCTGGCAGCTCACATCCTCCTGGGTGCATGGAGGCAGTCAGGTGTGTAGACAGGTGTAGGCTGCTGTTTGTTAACAGGGGCTTTGTGGAGGTGCTGTCCGTAGGCAGACACTTTGTGAAGGTGCTGTCTGTAGGCGGACACTTTGTGAAGGTGCTGTCCGTAGGACTTGATTGCTCTGATAGCTCCACAGCATTGGTTCACTTGCTCTTATTTAGTGGTGGGGTAGCCTAGTGGGTTAAGCGTTCGCTCGTCACGCCGAAGACCCGGGTTCGATTCCCCACATGGGTAAAATGTGTGAAGCCCATTTCTGGTGTCCCCCACCGTGATATTGCTGGAATATTACTAAAAGCGGTGTAAAATCAAACTCACTCACTCACTTATTTAGTGTAAAAATAGGCCTGTCTCTCTCAGTGGATAGCATCTGTGCTAGCATTGTCCCAACTGGTACAAACACCCATATACATGCATGCACATTACTCTAAATGTGCTCGAACTTTTAATTCAACGTTAAACTCTATGTAACTGTCTAGTTATGTGTTTGAAATGTTAGCCTGTGGTCTGTGCAGGTAAACAGCACTACGTGTGGCAGGTGGTGACGCAGCTGGAGCTCGGCATGAGGAAGTCTTCCAACTTCCAGATCAAACTCCTGCTCGTCAGACTCTACTGCATTATGGGTAAGACTGGAATAGACATTTCTGAGTAGTCAGGGAACAGTCAGTCCCTGGATCATCTAATCCAAGCGTTCCTTGTTCGTGGTGCAGAACATTATACTCAACTATTCAAATTGAATGTTGCCAGTAGGTCTTGATTGTAAGTCCCATAAAATGTTAATGTAATTTCGCAAAATTATTTGCTGTCTTTGTCGAACTTGTAGTGGGGCAAATGGTTGGTCCAGTTGTTCAACATACTGCAGCATGCCATGCAGTTGTCTCCCTTTGCTGTCACAGGATCTAATGCACATAAATTAACATCACCTATCAGTATATCCTCTGTGGTTTCGAATAGAACAATAATTATTTAGAGTGTGTTTTGATTTTGGGTATGATTTAGACCGCTAGTATACAGCCACTAACAAATTGTTGTATTTATAGGAGCCTTTGGACCTTGTCCAGCTCTGTATGATGGCATGGAGATCAAACACATAATGAACGACACTCTTGGGTAAGTCAGGTACCCATGCTCACAAGATAGGCTGAGTAAATATAGCCTGTCAGTGCATGTGCACTAAATGTTGAAAAAAACAGTCATAAATATATCATGTGAGATTCAAGACTAAATCATATGTTAATTGGGTAACTTTTTAGTAAGTCATTTGGAATGTATGGAAAATTGTGTATATCATGAGTAAATCATGTGTGAGGAATTAATTGTATGATTCATGAGTAAATTGTATGCATGTCATGAATTTCATGCCATTCATGAGTACATCATGAATATATCACATTACCCATGTGTAACTCATGTACTACATTACTAAATCATTTGGGGCGGTGGGGTAGTCTAGTGGTTAAAGCGTTGGCTCGTCACGCCGAAGACCCGGGTTCGAATCCCCACATGGGTACAATGAGTGAAGCCCATTTGTGGTGTCCCCCGCCATGATATTGCTGGAATATTGCTAAAAGCGGCGTAAAACCAAACTCAGTCAGTCAGTACTAAATCATTTATTATTCATGTGTAATCCATGAGTATGTCGTGTAAAAGATTGATAGCTTACATTTATTTCAACATGTGCAGAGCTTATGAATCTCTCCGTCAGTAAATGTCAGTCAAATCTTCCCTGTCTACTTCCAGACACATTGTCTCAAGCCACGTGGGCAGACTGGGACATTTTGTGGCAGCTTGCTCGATGTACGGAACCATGCTACGGTTCTTCACAGTCAACCATAAAGAGGTAGATGCACTACTGGTTGTACAGACTTTTAGTCATTGGTTTGGAAGAATTTTGATTGGTTTCTGTGTTTGGTTTGCTGTTTAACACCACACTCAGCAATATTCCACTCATAGTATCAATTCTGGCAGAATTTGCGACTATGAGTTATCTCGTAGCTAATATCAGTGGTATTTTAGAACAAGTTTCACATGTTGGCAAAACAGGCACAAGAAGCAATCGTCTCCTGGCGTTCTTTGTTGCCGTCAGTAGACGATTGCTTCTTGTGCCTATTTTGCCAGCATGTAAAAATTTGTTTTAAAATACCACTGATGTAGCTACAAGATAACTCTTAGTGGCAAATTCTGCTAGAATTGATATTGAGAATTGAGTATACTTGGTATAGGCAGTCAATGTGTTAAACAACTTTTTCTGTGATTGATCATAAAACGTCAGATTTCATATCCTGTTGGGTACAGAGGTTTCAGGACCATGTGTCTCATTTATGTTTTGTGCACTTATCCCTATTTCGAGTTATTTTATCATTTGAACCCAGACAGCTGCATGAAACCCAAGGACTTCAACTTGCAGACATCCACACTATCAACCACTGGTTCAGATTCTGTGATTTCACAGGTCTCCATGATATTATCTGCTATAGTATCACTGAATGTTTGGTGTAGCATTCAGGGGTGGTGGGGTAGCCTAGTGGTTAAAGCGTTGGCTCGTCATGCCGAAGACCCGGGTTCGAATCCCCACATGGGTACAATGTGTAAAGCCCATTTCCGGTGTCCCACGCCGTGATGTTGCTGGAATATTGCTAAAAACGGCGTAAAACCAAAACTCAGTCAGTCAGTCAGTCGGTGTAGCATTCACGGTTCACCTGTTATTTCTCTTCATTTCAGACCACAGAATACCTCATATCATCCTACAAATATGGGTCCTTTGGGAAGGTGAGAGGCAAAATGTCTTCCCTACATGTCTGTTAAATATGATTGTTCAAGTCAGTTTAGTTACAAATATGAAAGCTGCAATTTTTTCTGGACATGTTCATCATTTTTTACAGGACAGTATAATATATGAAATCTTTTATGTTTATGCTGCAATATAACTCTATTTTCTCTATTGAAATGTGGTAGGCCATTGTGCATGTGTTCTTGGGGTGTGTTCGGGTGAGGTGTTTTTACCGTTCTTGGGAAACATACCACAGAGCATTTCCTTCATGTCGGGAATTAAAGCAGAGACAAGCAAATAGTATGAGTAAGGAAAAGTATAAACTAATGGTTTTACTCTGAAAAATACATATTTGTTTTCCAGATCAGGGAATTTGTTAACTTCCGAGAAAAACTGCAGAACTCTTTACAGTACGCGAGCGCCACGTCTGAAAGGCTGCTTCTTGATTTAACACTAGAAACTGCAAGGTGAGTGGTGTTCTCATTTTAGTCGTCATATTGTCAAGGACAAAGATTCCAGCTGTGTGTTATAGTGACTCATCCCCACAGAGATTCTGCATTAGAATTATAGGTCACCCGCAAAAGGGGCGACCCTGTTTGATTTCCTGTTGTGAGGGGCAAATTGGATTGTTTGGTCCACACTTGATAATGTACAGCATCCGTGAAGACATCGGTTAGAATTGACCTTCAGTAACCCATGCTTGTCGTAAGAGATGACTAATGGGATGGGATGGTCAGGCTCGATGACTTGGTTGACACATGTCATCTTGCCCCAACTGCGTAGACCAATGCTCATGATGTTGATCTCTGGATTGTCTGGTCCAGACTCGATTATTTACATTACAGGCCACTGATCCCATCCATATAGCTGGAATATATCTGAGCTGGGCATTAACCTAATCTTTTTTATATGTCAAGCAGAGTATGGCCGGAACATTGGCAATGTGATGTTAGGTTCTAACTCTCAAACACTGTATGAAACTGTCTTCAGTTTCCTGGAAAACGTCAGAAGCTCTTACTTGCAGAAAAACACAAAGAGCTCAAACTGGAATGACATATTGACTCACTCACTCATGGTGCATGATACCTCGGTCTTGTGGTCATTAACAGACTTTGTTGTTTGATCGTTTTGAAGAGAATTAAATGTTTTGTATTTTCGTCTGTTTCAGTCACAATAGTACGGAACAAATGATAACATATATGGAGATTGACCCTGAAAAAGGTGAGCTATCCTTTGATGCTTAGGTGCCACTTAAAGAAGTGATGCACTGGACAAGTCATCTGTCAATATTCGTGTGAGTGAAAAACTACGATTGTGTTGATCAAATCTTGTGGGATGGAATATTAGTTCTAGGCTTGTCAGCCTCATACCCAAGCATGCTGTTTTCACCAAAGTGGTTATTGTCGTGATACCTGTAACACTGCAGGCTTTTCTCCCACATCAAGCTGTGGAATACTGTTCAGGGCTTGATTTAGTGCTTTGTTACTTGCACTGGTGCAACCCAATATTAGAAAGTGCAACCTAGTTATTAGTCGAACTTGCACCAGGTGCAAGTCAATTTCAGAGTTAGTAAACTTCTGAATAAAACATCTAGATAATTGCCTCTACATATTGCAGTAAAAGCAGTGCAACTGGAATTGGCTGGTGCAACTAGGTTTTTATCTTTGGTTGCACCTGGTGCAAGTAGGTTAACATCTCTTAAATCGAGCCCTGCTGTTCAAATCTGGGTTAATCACGGCTAACTCATTGAACACATACCATGATCCTTGATTCAACCTTGCTGTACAAGCCCATTTAGCTTGAAACACCCTGCTAGTGACATGTAATTCACACTCTCCTTTTTTATTCAACTAACTGCTGATTACTTGTTGTTCAGGGGAAATTGTAAATGGTATTACAAAATATGCCCATAATGCTGACATGACCTTGACCATGACCCTGTGACCTTAATAATTCTTCCTAGCCTAGCCTAGCCCATTCTCTTCCCACAGAGGTTACTCCTGTCATATCTTCCTATGTAACCTCTGTTCTAATACGGCCCTTTCATGGTGTGAGCAGGCAATCAGATTTAGTTGTGCAATCAGCGGCGTTGTTTCAATAGTGATCATTCGCAAGGCCTCGGTAATTTCCGTATGCTTCGAGAAAACTAAAGTGCTTCCCCTGCGCGATGCGCAAACGTTTCTTCTAGACAGAACTCAGTCATGTTATGGCGGATCAGTGGCGTCTCCATCGCCCTCGTTGACAACGGACAAGCTAGCCATTAAGCGTGTGTGTAATAACACAAGTCCCCGGCAGATGGGGATATTTGTGGCCCCACATTTGCTTGTGTTGAGTCAAAGTTGAATCTAAGCGATGTAACACGTGTTCTGATTGGATAGAAAGAAGGGAGATAATTAGATGTTGCAATCTTTTGCACTAGGGGATTTCTACGAAAAATATGTCCAGATTATTAGAACAGAGGTTCAGAGGAAAGATATGATTACAAATAACCTCTGTGGGAAGAGAATGAGAACTTTCACTATGAAATCAGTGAGGAGGATAGTTTGACAAGAAACCACCACCTTGACCTTTCCACCTTGACCTTTCATACAATGTACGATTCTAAAAGTGAAACTCTTCACATATCTCTCCGCGTGATACTATGAAGTGTTTCAGAGTTAACGGAACGATTAGTGTAATCACCTTTATTAGTCAAATACTGTTCTGTTCTGTTTCAGACAAGACGGACATGGACCAGCTGTGTGATAACCGAGACTTTCAAGTAATGAGTTGCTGGGAACCACCGGAACTGTGAGTTGCTGTTGTATTTCTATTCCTTTGTCGCTGCTTCCGTAACCTGAAAATTTAAAAGAGACAGGAAGTGTTTTGGGTTACATCACTGTGTTTCAAGCCTTCTTCTTTCTGTTCCCCGACCGCGTCATACCAAAAGACGTTAAAATATGGTACTTGTTGGTCCCTGCCTGGTGTTCGACATTAATGGGTACAACAAGGACTGGTCGGCTCGGAGTCAGTATAATGTGTCTGAGTGGGATATTCATGCTTCACTGCGGCGTGGTATCTCAGTGGGCTAGCACTATAAAACCAGCTTCAGTCTTGGCTAGTACAAGCAGCCGCACATACACATACACACGCATGCACGTCGTCATATAAGCGAAATATTCTCAAGTACGACGTTAAATCCAATTTCACCTCACCTCACCTCACCTGTTTGTGGTTATATTGTACTCAGTTGATGTATTCTGTGTTTGGGGGTGGTGGGGTAGCCTAGTGGTTACAGTGTTGGCTCGTCATGCTAAAGATCCGGGTTCCATTCCCCTCATGGATACAATGTGTGAAGCCCATTTCTGGTGTCCCCCGCTGCTATTTTGCTAAACGCGGCTTAAAACTAAACTCATTCACTCTCTCACTGTTCTGTGTTTGTGTTATGCATTTACAATCACTAAACCCTCGGAGAGTCTGAGTCAGAACTGGTCCAAGGAAACCTATGCTTGTACGAGGCAACTTGACTGGGTTGTCAGTTTCAGTGCCGTGGTTGAGTGTCATTTTTGTCTGCATCATGGGATTTGTGTACAATTTCAAATTCCCTAATCATAGGCCAATTGTATTGTTCAAAAGTGGATTTTTTCATTTTTGGAAATTCTGAGGAAGGGCAACTTTTGAATTCTGATTTGTAAATTTTAGTCATCAGTCTGTGGATCTAAGATGGCACCATTTCTCCACAATTTCCAAAAATAATAAAAACCGTCTTGAACAATACAACAATTGTCTCAAATTGGCCTGTCAGTTAGGTCCAAACAATTTAAAAGTCACTGTTATTATCCCCGCTAACGCGCTTTATGGGGGTATTAAAATGGACTCTGCATGCGTGCATCCGTTAATCCGTCCTGTCCGTGCACATTTGTCTTTTCCGAGCAGAACTCTAAAACCTTTCACTATTTCTTCACCAAAGTTGGCACATAGATTGATCTGGTGGTGTACTGGTGCCTTTGGTAGTTTTGAAATTCTGAATAAAATATTTTTGGTATTTCCATGGCAACAAGTTTGACATAGACTGAAATTGGTGATAGTGCTCCTTTCTGGAGCAGAATTTTAAAACCTTCCAAAACTCTCCTTCCACTTTTCTATATACACACCTAAATATTTGACATAATCATAACTCGTAGACATAATCATGAAGAGTATTTTGCCATTGCGGGAGATATTGATGACTTTGTCTTCTTGTTTAGTTGGAAGTATTGTTTGAACCACCCTGAGGTTGGGAAATACATGATTTTGCTTCAGCCATCCTGCCATGCTCCCATCTAATTTTAATGACATGTTTCCTGGTTTAACTCTATGGATAATGTTTAATGTGAACTATTTTGTGTTTCTTTCAGGTTTGACCTTGAGGCATTACAGAGACAATCATTTGAAGAGGAGGTACGTTAGTTATTGACAGAAATTGTCATGATGTACAATTCACTTAAGAGTTACTTCCCTTGATCTGCTTATCATGGCTTTTAATCTTTCTCAGGGAGTATAATTTTTGGCTTCTTTGAGTGGCATTTGCGAGTTGGTGTGATGAACAACAGGGAGATTTCTATGGATGTACAACTTCTTTCTTATTAATGTAAGTGACGTTTCAGTGTAGATACTGCACTTGCTTCATTACTGTGTTAGCATCTACACTAAAATACTGGTTTCATTATTAATAAAGAAGTTGTATATCCATAGAACTTTCCCCACTGTTTATGATTCCTGGTTTAAGGTAAATGTGAACATCATGACTTTGATGTATCAGGCCTCATCAAAAACTACAAAAAACTACTCTCATTAATGCAACTGAAGAGGTTAGAAAATTTTATACATTCTCCTCCACATTTGAACTCAGTATGATCTGCTGTTACCAGAAAGCGTGGCTCCGTCTGCGGAACCTGATGTTGCGACTGCTGGCTGCGGCAGTGATGTTGGGTCGGCAGCCAGATGTCAACCACCACGCCAACAACGGCGTGTCTGAGGAGCGTAAACCCATGTCGGAGGTGATGCAGGAGCTCCTGGAGAAGCTCACCTCCCATTTAGAGGACTGCGACAAGTATACCAACAGTGTGCTGGTTAGTTCTTAGTGTTGGACCTGTTTCTTTTCTTGTCCACGAACTTTTCGGTATAGCAACTTGCTGGACTCAAAAGCTAAATGTTAGGTACGATTTGATGTTAATTTTCCAAGGATTGTTATGAGGGGCGGTGGGGTAGCCTAATTGTTAAAAGATCTGCTCGTTACGCGGAAGACCCGGGTTCGATTCCCCACATGGGTACAATGTGTGGAGCCCATTTCTGGTGTCCCCTGCCGTGATATTGCTGGAATATTGCTAAAAGTGGCGTAAAACTAAACTCAGTCACTCCAAGGATTATCAGAACACGTCACTAATAATTTCTGAAAATGTACCCATCAATAGAAATTGGCGCTATTATCTTTCCAAAACTGCCCAATAGTTAAAGTATTATAAGGATTAGTAGATATTTGTCTCTTTTACGGCTTTCTGATATTTGAAGGCAAAAAATAATTGTAAGTCATGGGAATTAATAGTCAGTTGTGTCCAGTAAATTTTCTCAATAGACGTGAGGCTTCTAAATTCTTGGTAAAAGTGGGATAGACATTAGGAGCAGCTTCTGATTTCTGAATCTAATAATGAATGTAAGTGGAAAGTTCTGTATGGAGTTTAGAAAGGCCATCCGTTTACATATTGTGGATATTTGTATTCCCAGTTATTCCCAGTGCCATTGTGAGATATAGAACTGGAATAAAAGATCTGATCTGACAAGACGGTGTATAACAATGTTCATCCTGTAAATACCATTGGTCCTTGACCCTTGTACATCTTACAGTGTCAGGTTGACGGCCCGTACCGGACAAGACTTTCAACCTTCCTGTCCAGTGGCCACCATAAGGTGTTCAAGGAGATGGTGCAGTGTGTTATATATTCCAGTAGTCTACAGGATAAAGGTGTAGGTAAGGGTCAAACTTTTATTGATCGTTAATTTTAAGTGATCTTATCATCAGTGGTTAAAATCAGTAGATTGTGTATTCTATTCTAGATGGGGACTAACAGGATTGGGTGGTCAGACTCGCTGACTTGGTTGACACATGTTATCGTATCCCAATTTCTTTCATCGATGTCCAGGGGCTGTGGGGTAGCCTAGTGGTTAAAGCGTTGGCTCGTCACGCCGAAGACCCGGGTTCGAATCCCCACATGGGTACAATGTGTGAAGCCCATTTCTGGTGTCCCCTGCCGTGATGTTGCTGGAATATTGCTAAAAGCGGCGTAAAACCAAACTCAGTCAGTCAGTCAGTCATCGATGTCCATGCTATTGATCACTGGATTTTCAGGTCCAGTTTTGATTATTTATTGACCACTGCCATATAGCTTGAATATTGCTGAGTGCGGCATTAAACAACAAACAAACAAAGCAAACAAGCCTAAACATTACCATTGAAGATTGGTTTGTGGAAGGTGTTGCTTGAATTGGGTCCTCATGTTGGGATCGGGGCGGTCGGGTAGCCTAGTGGTTAAAGCTCATCACGCCAAAGGCCCATTTACTGTTTTTCTCCACATGGGGGGTACAATGTGTGAAGCCAATTTCTGGTGTCCCCTGCCATGATAATGCTGGAATATTGCTAAAAGTGGTGTAAAACGATGCTCACTCACTCACCCACTCATGTTAGAATCACAACAGATGGTCTTGAGGTTGAATCTCCAGTTCTGCCTTATTACGACATGGTGTTTGTCAGCTCTGTACAAGTACTCCTAGGTTTCAAATACCCAAGATGACATGGTGTTTGTCAGCTCTGTACAAGTACTCCTAGGTTTCAAATACCCAAGATGTCATAGTTTTTTCAAGAATGTTACTTTGTTTATCTGTTTCAGGTAAAAGTGAAGAAAATGAAGAGAAAAGATTCACAACAGTTGTTCCTGAGTTACTTCAAGGTTTGTCTGCCTTTTCGTAATAGTAATAGTCCACTTGTATGGCGCTCATATCCAGGCACATTGCCTGCTCACGCGGTACGTACATTACTATCCCCGGATATAGGACACTATCGTGCGATACTTTTTCAACTCCCTGGGGATCATACAGCCATGCTGCCTGTTAGATCGCAATGAACTAAACACTCACATTGCCAGCACATATTCACGGGTACCCATTTATAGCTGGGTGAACTGAGACAATGTGGATCTAAGCATCTTGTCCAAGGTTACTACACAAATGTGCCCACCTCAGGACCCGAACCTAGGTGTCTCCACAGGGATCAAACCCGGGCCTTCAGTGTGATAGGCAGAGGCATTGCAACTGCCCTACCGTTTTCCTTTTCTAGTTGTTTACTTTTTGTGTGTTTTGTTTGTTCCATTCCAATACCACTGTGTAATACATATGATATATGGCTCTCTAATTCAGTGTGCCAGGTTCCAGTCATCAGTTGTTTGAAGACTATATTGTGAATTATACTATGTTTGATTATGGTTCTTGGTTTGTTAGCAGTTTCTTACACATGTTAAATATGATGTCTTGAGTGAGTGAGTTAAAATTATCGTCACATCAGCAATATTTCAGCCATATTGTGACAAGATGTTGTCTTGAGATTTATAGCTGCAATATTTCCAGGGTCCTGCATGACAATGGTATAAGAATCTAAACCGAAATGTCTCATCATAATATAATACAGAAGTCATCCATAAAGTATCATACCTTTCTTATTATTTATCAACTTTTAAAAAGGCAAATCAAAGAGATCATTGGTTTCGGTTATCCCAAGGGAGGCAACCCTGCACAGTGAATGGCAGCTTAGACAATTGGGCCATTCCTGTTCCTTCACAGATTTTTATTTATTGTACAATATTTTTATTAAAACATTGATACAACGGTCGCATGACATTTCCAGCCGCAGAAAATGCATATATGTACCGCAAGGACAATTCTCTTCAAAGAATTGGAAACCTCTACAGGTTTAGCTATATATCAACATAAGAATAAACTCACTCCTAGACAGGATCAAACTCTGATGTTATTATTGTATTCATGTTTTCTATGTATTTGTTTCCTTCAGAGGCAGTGTCCCGACACAAGTGTCCCTTAATTCGCAGTCCGGAGGGTGAGGCTGCCCTTAACACAGAAGTGCTTGAAAATCTTGTCCTCTGTGCAGAGGTCAGTAGAAGTTAACTAAGGTCAAGGTCATCATATCACTTTCATCAAGGTCATTCTTGGACAACTGAATTGTATGGAGATAACAACAACTTGACATGTCATAAGGTCAAGGTCAACAGACTAGCAGTTGTGATCGTCACATTTGTTCAAATACTTGTACAGTTGCTGTTTATCAACACAGTGTTGGCAGTTTGTTCAAATTTAATTGTTTCTTGTTATTGATTTCTTTATGTTGAAACTTATTGATATTTTTGTCTCCCCCAGAAGGGTCGGGAGACATATTGTTTTTGGTTGAGTTTCCGTCGGCATTTGCGTCGGTGTCAGCGCTCCCATTGTTTCCGGAACATGACTCTAAAACTAATTGACGCATCTTAACCAAATGTGGTAAACTGCCACTCCATATCATAAAGATGTGCCTTTTGGGGGTTTGAGGGTTTTTTTCAATTTTAATTTTGTCTGTTTTCATGGCAACAATTAGGACTTTGTCTTTTTGAAGGGTAAAGTTTGTTTATGGAGCATAATTCTGAAACTAATTGACCCATCTTCACCAAATTTGCTATACCTTTTGTAGATGTACCTTTGGGGGGTTGGAGGGTTTTTTTTTAATTTTATATTTTTCGGTTTCAATTATTTTTTTCTGTTGAGGTCTCAACGTTGAAGTGGGGGATGGTGGAGACATCTGTTTTTACGAGTAATAAAAAATTCTTAGTTTATATTGATTTTGCTATGTTGACGTTGAACTTGTCTGACTGTGTACTTGCAGACATTATCTTATGCAACAATCCTGGCGGGAGTGTGCAATAGGATTCTCAAGCCTCTAAAATCATCGTGGACGAAGAAGTTACGCAAGAAGAAGGACACAGCACCAACACAGGTAAGTGGGTCCAAATGGGATTCCCATTGGTCCCTGATTTCCCAGGATTCCTGTGGGAATGCTGGTTATGTGTTATCCTGCTCAGGAAAAATGGGAACAGATTTTGAGTCATGATGAAAATATTCTGGGTGAACTTACCTATATTTGAAGAAAGAAATACAGTGGAAACCTGTTAAGTAAAATTTCATGGACTTGCCAAAATTGTTTACTTATCAGGTATTTTATTATCCAAACTTATCAAAACCTGCATTTGTGTTAGATAAACAAACGTTTTTTTCAATTGATCTTATTCCAATTTCACCGCTAGATTTCAGCTTTTATTACTTGTCACGTGACCGTAATGGCGTCCTTCTTCAAGTCATTCATCATGTAAATTGGATAAACTCACTGACAATTGCTAATTGGTCTACTCACTGATACTCGCAAGCTAGCTGGCCTCCAGTTGTCAGTGTATTGTGAACTGCATGACGCCAGCGAGCTGTAAGTAGGATGTTTGTATAACTGGAGACTGACACTTGCCCCTCATGTTGGATTATTTGGTGATCTCTAATTTAGTTATCCGGTCTCTTTTGTTAAGTAATTTACTTCCAGGGACAATGAGAAGACGTTTAGTTAAGCGGTATTGTTTACTTATCCAAGTTTAGTTATCCAGTCTCTTTTGTTAAGTAATTTACTTCCAGGGACAGTGAGAAGACGTTTAGTTAAGCAGTATTGTTTACTTATCCAAGTTTAGTTAACCGGACTCTAATAGTGATAATTAATTAAGAAATTTGCTGGGACCAAAGAATAGTGTTTACTTATCCGTTCAGTTTAGTTAAGCGGTCTTTACATAGGCGGTTTCCACTGTAACTCCAAATTCCTTACATTTATGTTCACTTTTTGTCAATCATAGATATAAGCTCTATTTTCAAAGGTATTAATATTCTTTGTCATTTTATTCCAACCTCATACTCTGCAGCCAGGCATCAAGATGGCCAGGATAGAAATGTATTTTTCAAAGGTGCATATGGGCACCAGACATGATAATCTAGGTGTGCTTTTGTGAAAATAAGTGTGCTCAGGAATACCTTTTGATAATCCAATTAAACTTCACAACAGTCATGTCAATCAACTTATTGGATTTTTTTGAATAAATCATTCGATCCCCGACCGCGTCATACCAAAAGACGTTAAAATATGGTACTTGTTGGTCGCTGCCTGGTGCTCGTCATTAATGGGTACAACAAGGACTGGTCGGCTCTGAGTCAGTATAATGTGTCTGAGTGGGGTATTCATGCTTCACTGCGGCATGGTATCTCAGTGGGCTAGCACTATAAAACCAGCTTAAGTCTGGGCTAGTACAAGCAGCCGCACATACACACGCATGCACGTCGTCATATGAGCGAAATATTCTCAAGCACGACGTTAAACCAAATTTCACCTCACCTTTAATGAATTAGTAAACATGTAAACTTGGAGAAGGATTTCCTAAACACTAACATAACTGAAAGAATTGTTCAACTTCATTTGTCCTGTATCCATGAACTAACCCACAAACTATGGTATCATCCATCATGCAATGCGCACTAGCATTCAAAATGGGCAAGTCCATGTTAAGCTGTGAGATTAAGAGTACCACAGTTTGATGGGGTGCAAAATAGGATTTGAATCATTTGAGTTGGTCAAATATATCTCATCAATGAATTATATTATTTTTATGATTTTAGTCATGCCGCGGGATACTTTGAAAATATTTCATCCTTGCTATTTCAATATTTACCTTGCCATGGAAATTAAGTGCAAATTAAGCACTATTTCAATCCATTCAGCTGGGCATCTAGCTGAGATACAAGATGGAGGACCTGATCAGAGGTGTTTCTTCTTCCAGCCCTGTACATTCAGCAACTTCAATGCAATGGTAGAAGGCCTGGAAAGAAGGCCAGATCTTCACCAGGCTGTGAAGGAGGTGGACCCTGTCTTCCTGTCCCTCAATCTCAGCTCCCTGAATCTGTCCGAGCCCCTCACAGACAACCAGGTAGGTGATACCGTCTCCCTGTCCCTCAATCTGTCCGAGCCCCTCACAGACAACCAGGTGGGTGATCCCGCCCCCTGTCCCTCTATCTGTCCCCCCTCACAGACAACCAGGTAGGTGATCCCGTCCCCCTGTCCCTCTATCTGTCCGAGCCCCTCACAGACAACCAGGTAGGTGATCCCGTCCCCCTGTCCCTCAATCTGTCCGAGCCCCTCACAGACAACCAGGTAGGTGATCCCGTCTCCCTGTCCCTCAATCTGTCCGAGCCCCTCACAGACAACCAGGTAGGTGATCCCGTGTCTCCCCGTCCCTCAATCTGTCCGAGCCCCTCACAGACAACCAGGTAGGTGATCCCGTCTCCCTGTCCCTCTATCTCAGCACCTCAATCTGTCCACTTTTCTGAACTCCTCAGTGTCAGGCAGGAGTTTAACCTCCTCTTCCTCTGCCTTGATACCTGTAAAGATCTGGGTTAGATTTGGTCTTCAGTAATCCTTGCTTGTCGTAAGAGTCGACTAACGGGATCGGGTGGTCAGGCTCACTGATGTGGTTGACACATGTCATAGGTTCCCAATTGCGTAGATTGGTATTCATGCTGTTGATCACTGGATTGTCTGGTCCTGACTCAATTAATTACAGACCACCGCCACAAAGCTGGAATATTGCTGAGTGCTGCATTAAACAACAAACCAAACAAGTCCCCTGCCATGATATTGCTGGAATATTGCTTAATGGGGCATAAAACTAAATTCGCTCCTTGGTCTCAAGGTCCGGCATATGGGCAACACTGGCATCCATGAGCTACACCATCAGTATCTGGGACAGCCAAATGGATGACACAGCCGCTCTGATACTCTGTCATGTGGAAAATGGCAGTCTTGTGGGGTTTGATACATTCAGTTCATCTTTCCTGCTTCCTGTGATAAAGTGACATTTTTCTTCCCACAGGAAGAGATGGAGATACAGAAGGAAGTGTGGCTGAAGGTGGAGAACAGCTACCAGCAGTCTTCTCGAGCTGTACATGACCACGTTCATCTGAAACTGCAGTATCTCCACACACTCAAATTATGAAGCTCTGTTTCTCTCCTCTGTCTCACATGCTGGTCAGACTGGGTGCCGTGGTAGGACTCAATGAGTTGGACCTGATGTGTTTGAGTGACTTATTGGGCCAGAAGTGTGTCAAACCTCAAGTGTTGGGCCTTTCTTGTTTGACCTGAAATATAGGGCCAGACTTGTTGGACCTGAAATGTTGGGCCTTACTTGTTGGACCTGAAGTGTTAGACATGAAGTGTTGGACCAGACTTGTCGGAACTGAAACGTAGTGACGGACTTGTTGGACCTAAATTGTACACCAAGTGTAGGACCTGACATGAAGGACTGAAGTCTATGACCTGACCTGTGTTGGACCTTACATATCCTGTTGACTCGGACTTGTAGGAAGTGTAGGACAAGACTTATTGGACCTGAAGTCCAGAACCGGACCTGTTGGACCTGAAGTCTAGGACCGGACCTGTTGGAACTGAAGTCCAGGACCGGACATGTTGGACCTGAAGTCCAGGACCGGACCTGTTGGACCTGAAGTCCAGGACCTGAGCTGTTGGCAGGAAGTCCAGGATCAGACCTGTTGGACCTGAAGTCCAGGACTGGACATGTTGGACCGGAAGTCCAGGACCGACCTGTCCAGGACTGAGGACCTGTTGACCTGAAGTCCAGGACCGGACCTGTTGGACCTGAAGTCCAGGACCCCGGACCTGTTGGACCTGACCCCAGGACATGTTGTCCAGGACAGGACCTGTCCTGGTCCAGGACCTGTTGGACCTGAAGTCCAGGACCTGACATGTTGGACCTGAAGTCCAGGACCTCAGACCTGTTGGACCTGAAGTCCAGGACCGACATGTTGGACCTGGACCGGACCTGTTGGACCTGAAGTCCAGGACCGGACATGTTGGACCTGAAGTCCAGGACCGGACATGTTGGACCTGAAGTCCAGGACCTGACCTGTTGGACCTGAAGTCCAGGATCAGACCTGTTGGACCTGAAGTCCAGGACCGGACATGTTGGACCTGAAGTCCAGGACCGGACCTGTTGGACCTGAAGTCCAGGACCGGACATGTTGGACCTGAAGTCCAGGACCGGACCTGTTGGACCTGAAGTCCAGGACCGGACCTGTTGGACCTGAAGTCCAGGACCGGACATGTTGGACCTGAAGTCCAGGACCTGAGCTGTTGGACCTGAAGTCCAGGATCAGACCTGTTGGACCTGAAGTCCAGGACCGGACATGTTGGACCTGAAGTCCAGGACCGGACATGTTGGACCTGAAGTCCAGGACCAAGTGTAGGTCCTGACTTGCTGGACCTTAAGTGGGAGACCTGAAGTGTAGGTCCTGACTTGCTGGACCTTATGTGGGAGACCTGAAGTGTAGGTCCTGACTTGCTGGACCTTATGTGGGAGACCTGAAGTGTAGGTCCTGACTTGCTGGACCTTATTTAGGAGACCTGAAGTGTAGATCCTGTCTTGCTGTACCTTAAGTGTGGGTCCTGGAGTGTAGGACTAGACGTGTATCATCTGACTTGTTGGATCTGATATGTAGGACCCAACTTAAAGACCTGACATGATACACATGACCTGATGGACCTGATCTGAGGTCATCTCTTTGTTTGCCGGCCAGTAGAACTGTACAGACAATGTTCAATTTCTCAAAACTTGGACCGGAGTGTTTTCAAGACAAATTTATATGTGTGTGAAGATTTTGATAATTTATTATACACTGTGAGGGTAAAATGTAGCAAGGAAATGCCCTTACTATGGACATTTATCTGATGTGTTAAACAGTTCAACCTTTCATCTGATGCTGATTCTGCTCTATGCCTTTGCTGTGCTATAAATCCATATTTGGATAAGTAATGACCCAAAGACTCTTGACAATGAGGTACATGATGCACAAAGTCCACATTCAGGGCTTGTGATTGTAAAAGAAGCAATGATGGTTTATTCATACTAGTTTGTTAACCAGCTTAACCAAGGAAAGACTTCACTATAAATCCATGCTTGGGGCCTTGAAGGAAAAGGAAAGGGCCCCTTCTGAGGTCCTGGTGTAGTCATCAAATGGCAGCACATTCTTGTCAAGGTGGATGTGGTACATTATCCAAGATTCCATGCATCAAGTTCAACTTAATTCCTGTTATGTGACACACATCTTCAACAAAACCATGAGCTATTTTTTCATCTGTAAGTATCATACTGACCCAAAGTAATGGATAGCTGTCCATGAGGCGTTTTTCGTGAATTTTTATATTAGCACCAAGTGTGTGAGGCAATGGGTACAGTCATAAATATTGTTATTAATATATTGGACATGTCAAACTTGGGATTGTTATTGTCTGAACGTTTTCTGAGTGCCGCTTTGCAGGAGCTCTACCTGAAAGCATTTGTTTCCTTCAGTGTCTTGCAGAAAAATCTGCAGTATTTCATCTGATTGTGGAAAGTGAGGACAGTTTGGAGGAGATTCACCACATGTTGTTTATCACTCATGCTGCTGCAAGTTCTTCATCACTAACTGAAGCATCACGATATGGCTGAGATATTGCCGATGTGACGTTAAATATTAACTCACTCACTCACTAGCTGAAGCACTCGCCCATGGCATCACCTGTGGACTGTCTTGGGTACTGTGGAACTCACCTGTAGAATACACTTGTCAGCTAACCTACCTTTGGAGCTTACCTGTGGAGTTCCTGGTGGAATAGCCTGTGGAACACAGGGTTTTTTAGCTTTCCTGTGGGATACCTGTGGCACTCTCTGGTGAAATAGCCTGTGGAATACAGCTTTGGAGCTTTCCTGGCGGATGCCTGTGGAAGTCTCTGGTGGAATAGCCTGTGGAATAGCCTATGGAATACAGCTTTGATCTTATCTGTGGGACTTGCCTGTGGAGCTCTCTGGTGGAACAGCGTGTGGAATACAGCTTTGGAGTTGTCCCATGGGACTTGCCAGTAGAATTCACCTGAGGAAGTAGCCTGTGGAAGCTTTGAGCTCACCTGTTAGGGTAATCTGACTCAACAATCTTCCCTAGCCAGACTCAGAAGTGCAGAAATTATTTGTTCTTCCCTGTGGATCTTGATTTTGGACAGCATGTTACCTTTCTGTATATGAAGCCATTTTCTTCATATAGGTTAGGTCTGCAAGGACTGGAGACTGGAAGCTCTGCCTGACATGCGTTAACACACTTAGGTGCAGGAACTGGAGTGAAGTCTTGTCTGTTTAAACATCAATACGATGAATACACAATGCCATTTAGAAAGTGGTCAAATGTAACACGTTATATTTGGGATTACACTTCCTCAGTACAGATTCTGACACTTTCTTTGGGGTTGAGTCCCACCCGGGATTTGAACCCACACCCTAAGAGTCAGGCACCTTATCGCCAGCGGTGGAAGCTGAGGTGGCTGAGCGGGTTAGGTGGCTGATTTTGTGTGCTGGCGATTAGGTACCTGACTCTAACGTGTGGGTTCAAATCCCGGATGAGACTCAACCCAATAATAGCCCTGGAATCTGTATTTTACTGAGAAAGTGTAATCCCAAATATAACGTGTTACGACAATACTAATCTGTAAGGAGGATGTATGGAGGTATGGGAGTTGAGGATTCAAGCCTTCGGTGTTGATATTTTGATACTAATCAGATTTGTGTGTGGTTGCAACCCTTTGTCTGTCGACATGCTGTTAACCTCAGTCCCTCTACTTTGCATAGCAATTTTCTACAGGAGTTTTCATCGTTATGTATGCCTTTTGCAAACCAAAGTGACAAGTGATGTTGGTCATATCAAAATGTGAGCTTATTAGTTTGAACATTGGTAAATGTGTGTGTGTGTGTGTGTGTAAGGGGTACTTGTACTTGTGTGTGTGTAAGGGGGGGTACTTGTGTGTGTGCATTGGGGTGGGATTGTTGGTGTGGGGGAATGCATGTGAAAGCAATGTCTGATTTCTCAACGAAAAGGACTAAAAAAATCTGTGTGTCAAGGATACAGAGGTATGTTATGATTCATCAGTGTTTTATTCTTTGTGCACATCAAACAACTTTTGTGTTCTTCATCATGCCTTAAATTTTGGTTATGGAGTATTTGATTCACAGAATCTGTAGCATTTGAAACCTTAGACTGTCACTGCCAGTTCCAAATGAAATTTCAAGGCCGTTATTTCTGAATTGATGCCAACAATGGCATTAATTCTGTTATCGAAATCCATGTCTCACTTTCTGGTCAACTTCGTGTTGATCACAGAATGGGTTGTTCTTTCCTTGAAGGTCATAGTGTCTTGCAAGGATCGGAACCAGCTTGTCTGGATTTTTGTACTTGTGAACCGTCATGGAACATTTCAGGAAACTATTCCAAGCTAGTGTCCTGGGTGCCGTTGTACAAAACAACCTTAGCTCTAAGACTACCTTGAGTCGATGTTAAGGTATGGGAGTTACGGTCACCTTAGCGCTAAGACTACCTTGAGTCTATGTTAAGGTATGGGAGTTACGGTCACCTTAGCGCTAAGACTACCTTGAGTCTATGTTAAGGTATGGGAGTTACGGTCACCTTAGCGCTAAGACTACCTTAAGTCTATGTTAAGGTATGGGAGTTACAGTCACCTTAGCGCTAAGACTACCTTGAGTCTATGTTAAGGTATGGGAGTTACGGTCACCTTAGCGTTAAGACTACCTTAAGTCTATGTTATGGTATGGGGGTTACGGTCACCTTAGCGCTAAGATCGCTTTGTACAACAGCAGCCAGCAATGTAAAAATAATTGTGCCAGTATTTAATAAAAGTGAACCATTGAAGATCAGGATGAGAATTGGTCTTTAGCAACCTATGCTTGTAATAAGAGGCAATCATCAACGTTATGGGGTGGTCAGACTCGCTGACTTGGTTGACATGTCATCGTATCCCAATTTCGTAGATAGATGCTCATGACGTTGATCACTGACTTGTCTGGTCCAGACTCTATTATTTAGTGACTGCTGCCATATAGCTGGAATATTTCTGAGTGGCATTGAACAACAAACAAATAAAAGAAAATAAATATCTGGTACCATATAGAGAAGTGACGTTTTTTCACAGTTTTTGTGAAAAGATGTGTTCAAGAGGGCATTCGGCTTTGAGATGTTGAATAGGGTTTGTAAAAGTAAGATGTATGAGAATTTCTAACATTTAGAAATATGATCATCTTGAGGTTCACCCAGGAGTGATGAGGGTGTGTTGTGTTTGTTTTGTTAGTGGTCAGCGTGAGTGCTAGGCTTGATGAACCGAGTATTATATGAAGGGACAGATGCCAGGCAATTCAGACAAATCCGGATTGAATGGACAAAAAGTGGTGTCGTCAGTTCCTCATAGATCTCAAAGAACAGGGTATTGGAAGGTCAAAATGGCCGTTGTTGATGGTCAGTCATATTCGTACCAGTATTAATCATTTGATCATGATACTAGTGCTGGTATTGGCCTGCGATACGATACATCACGATAATAACATTTTAGTCCCGACGATATATTGCCAAAGTATTGTGCACTGAAGCTGCGATACGATACAAATCCTGATATAAGGGTGGCGATACGATATGTATTAAAATCTTTAATTCTAACACCAACTATAAAACGCCCTGAGATCAAAACAAAACCATTATAAAGTATTTCATCAAATTCCGCCAGCGTTTTTCAATGTTAATTCGGAAACGAGATAATTATATTTGTACACGGACTTTGTGAATGTTAATAACATGCGAGCGCTATGTCTGATACAGTTCTTGACCGAGAAAACGTTTGTTTATGAAAGGAAAATAAGTATGTACATATTTTAATCATCAAACAGAAGAATTTTTTCTTGACAGATATCGCGATTCTGCAATTTTCAAAGCTAAAGATCGATGTATCGTGGCCCATTTGAAGTATCGTATCGGGATATACGACGATGTAAAACTTGGTATCGATTCACTGTATTGGTGGCCCATGGATCGATGTATCGTCACACTACATGATACAGGTATAGAGCTAAACCAAAAGTTGTGGAGAATAATTGATTGCATATTAAGGACCTCACATTTGTAAATATAGGGAAATTTCACCCAAATGCATGCAGGTCCATTAAGCTACCAACCCCTTGAGGAAGGTTCATCATCTCGTGCTAGATCCAGTGTTTTGATGTTGCCTGGCAACTGTCACGTGTAGCCATGTACATTGACTGTTTCTTACGCACCGTCTAAACTACTCACATTATCCACATCCGTGATGTGAAACTACTTTGCATATGTACAATGAAATAAATACATTCTTTTTTAAATGGAGTATCTTTTTTGTTCTTTAGACTTGTTTCTGTTCAGTACCTAAATGAAATTCAGGCTATTTTCGTTTTTAGCTTTATATCACAAATGGCAAATTATTAAACACCGTTTTGTATGGCAGCTGTGATGAGTGAGTATGATTAAGCCCCTTTTGGCAATGTTCCTGCAATATCATGGCAGGGGACACAAATATGGGTTTACACATTGTACCCATGTGTGGAATCGAACTCAGGTCGTGGATGTGACAAGCGAATGCTTTAACCTCTGGGCTACCCCAGCACCCCCAGCTGCAGGAACATCCAAAGGTTCCCGCGTCCAAAATATACTGTAAATCTTGAAATTAATGCGAAAAATGCGTCTGTACTCTTCTCGCATTATCATAACGACGCATTTCAGTCTGACCATGTCTACTTAATAAAAGACAGAAAACGTAAATCTGTTGACACTACACATTACACCAATACAGGTCACTTCCTCATTACAGGTCTCTCAAGCCACATGTAATTATCACTGGTTACAATCCCTGGTCATTGTTAAAGTCACTCAAGCACATCATCCAGGCCGGACATTCTCCAGCCACTTGTTTGTTGTACCTTGGTAGCTGACTTTTGTGTCTTTCAAGTCGGATTACGTTTATACATGTTGTCATAAGACAAGTAGTAGCAAGCAATCAAAACATCGTCAGCTCATTTCCATTCATTGCTTAACAAGCTCAATTCATTTTATCATCAACACAGATTCCTGAGCTTGCATTTTAGACTACACCCTCGCACTCGCATTAAATTCGTGACACTTTAATTTCATGATGTACAGTATATGACAACTGAATAGCATCCCTTTCTGGTGATGGGATCTGCTGATTGTGGGTTTCAAATCCAGGGTAATGGTATGATAATGTTGGCTCCAATGTCTGCGATGCTATAGTATAACAAGACTATAACAGTTCATAGCAGTCGCCCTACACTGGTACAGCCATTCAACAGAGACATGAAACAGTTCATAGCAGTAGCCCTACACAGGTACAGCCATTCAACAGAGACATGAAACAGTTCATAGCAGTAGCCCTACACAGGTACAGCCATTCAACAGAGACATGAAACAGTTCATAGCAGTAGCCCTACACAGGTACAGCCATTCAACAGAGACATGAAACAGTTCATAGCAGTAGCCCTACACAGGTACAGCCATTCAACAGAGACATGAAACAGTTCATAGCAGTAGCCCTACACAGGTACAGCCATTCAACAGAGACATGAAACAGTTCATAGCAGTAGCCCTACACAGGTACAGCCATTCAACAGAGACATGAAACAGTTCATAGCAGTAGCCCTACACAGGTACAGCCATTCAACAGAGAACTGAAACAGTTCATAGCAGTAGCCCCACATGACACAGTTCATAGCAGTAGCCCTACACTGGTACAGCCATTCAACAGAGACATGAAACAGTTCATAGTTCACAGCCATTCAACAGAGACATGAAACAGTAGCCCCTACACAGGTACAGCCATTCAACAGAGACATGAAACAGTTCATAGCAGTAGCCCTACACAGGTACAGCCATTCAACAGAGACATGAAACAGTTCATAGCAGTACAGCCCTACACAGGTACAGCCATTCAACAGAGACATGAAACAGTTCATAGCAGTAGCCCTACACCCTACACAGGTACAGGTACAGCCATTCAACAGAGAACTGAAACAGTTCATAGCAGTAGCCCTACACAGGTACAGCCATTCAACAGAGACATGAAACAGTTCATAGCAGTAGCCCTACACAGGTACAGCCATTCAACAGAGACATGAAACAGTTCATAGCAGTAGCCCTACACAGGTACAGCCATTCAACAGAGACATGAAACAGTTCATAGCAGTAGCCCTACACTGGTACAGCCATTCAACAGAGACATGAAACAGTTCATAGCAGTAGCCCTACACAGGTACAGCCATTCAACAGAGACATGAAACAGTTCATAGCAGTAGCCCTACACAGGTACAGCCATTCAACAGAGACATGAAACAGTTCATAGCAGTAGCAGTAGCCCTACACAGGTACAGCCATTCAACAGAGACATGAAACAGTTCATAGCAGTAGCCCTACACAGGTACAGCCATTCAACAGAGACACTGAAAACAGTTCAGTTCATAGCAGTAGCCCTACACAGGTACAGCCATTCAACAGAGACATGAAACAGTTCATAGCAGTAGCCCTACACAGGTACAGCCATTCAACAGAGACATGAAACAGTTCATAGCAGTAGCCCTACACAGGTACAGCCATTCAACAGAGACATGAAACAGTTCATAGCAGTAGCCCTACACTGGTACAGCCATTCAACAGAGAACTGAAACAGTTCATAGCAGTAGCCCTACACTGGTACAGCCATTCAACAGAGAACTGAAACAGTTCATAGCAGTAGCCCAACACAGGTACAGCCATTCAACAGAGACATGAAACAGTTCATAGCAGTAGCCCTACACAGGTACAGCCATTCAACAGAGACATGAAACAGTTCATAGCAGTAGCCCTACACAGGTACAGCCATTCAACAGAGACATGAAACAGTTCATAGCAGTAGCCCTACACAGGTACAGCCATTCAACAGAGAACTGAAACAGTTCATAGCAGTAGCCCTACACAGGTACAGCCATTCAACAGAGAACATGAAACAGTTCATAGCAGTAGCCCTACACAGGTACAGCCATTCAACAGAGACACTGAAACAGTTCATAGCAGTAGCCCTACACAGGTACAGCCATTCAAGAAAACTGAAACAGTTTATAACATAATTAACTTCACATGTTTACCCATTCAACAAAGAAAAACACAACGCACATTGTGCATACAGACACACTTTATTGGTCCATGCTGCAAAACAATGACAAGTATTGTTCAATGGTGAAACAAGCCTGATTTTCACTCTTTTGGACAGTCAAAATTTGAAGAATGAGTCCAAAATAAATATACAAAAATCTTAACAAATGTCACAGAAATAGGACAATTTCATCCAAACATATCTGGAAATTGACATAAGTACTTCAAAATTATTTCATTATTAATTCCTTCTCCCAAAACTTGACAAGGTGTAAAAGAAAACCCAACACAAGGTTACTAGTTTGCATCTACTACAGCCGAAATGGAGCCAATGGACTTGTCTGCAGCGTACACACAGAGGACACACACACCTAACAATCACTGAGGGTGCTCAAACACGTGGCACGTCTAATGACATTCACAAGACTATCCGTACAGGGACTTTCAGAGAAATACCAAAATGTTTCTTTCTGACCTAATCCTATGCTCTAACATTTAACACACACAATACCTGAATTGTAACAAATAAAGATTATGATTCGTAACTTCAAATAGGTTGATTTATACACAGCATCAATTAGTCATTTCACTATTTTAAAAAAAGAAGTAATCAAAATAAAGCATTTTTTCATTGGAATTTAAACATGATAAAGCTTTCAATCAAGGACTTGGGTGTCTTCCCGTGGATTTCATATTTTTCAGGTTTACCCATCCTAGCTCCTAGAATCCTTGTGTGCACGGTCATGGTGAGGCAATGTGCGCCACTGCTATTAGTATTAGCGACTTGACAACCTATAGACAATTGTCATTCTTCATGTCTAAAAGGCACCCTTCCTTCTCAGTGGCGTTATACATCATCTGCAAAATGAGAAACAGTCTCGTTATCAGAAATATATTTTGCTTAACATCTCACCAATATGTCAGCTAAATGGGGTTCATATAATGTCGTATGGGCAAACTGGTGGTTGATGTTATGAACACCAATCCACACTCAAGGTCATTGTGACCAACCAATCCCGTTTAGTCAACTCGTACAACAGGTTTGGAATATTTTTTATCTCTTCTACCTCAGATTCCTTTTGGAGATGCGAGTGAGATGTAACGTCGCTTTGAAATGTCTTTCACTTACATCATGTCGTGTCAGTTTAAAGTTGGAAAACAATGAAATGGTACTTTTTCTCTAAAGGATTTACCATCAAGGGAAATATTTCTCTATGATGGAGCGAGTGGGGATGGTTTTTTGCTGCTTTCAGCAATATTCCAGAAATATCATGGCAGTTGTCACTAGAAATGGGCTTCACAATTGTACCAGGGAATCAAACCCGGATCATGAGTTAATGCGTTAACCATTACGCTAACCCACTGTCCCTTAATGTAGGAGGATGGCATAATGAGATGCCATTGTTCAGTGAGTGCATGAGTATGGTTTTACACAGCTTTTAGCAGTATTCCAGCAATACCACGGTAAGGGACACCAAAAATGGGCTTCACATTGTACCCATGTTGGGAATTGACCCCGGTCTTCAGCGTGATGAGCAGACGCTTTAACCATTAGGCGACTTTTACCATTATGGTGGAACCCATGACCATGGGTACATTGCTCATAAGCCTCATTGACTAATCAGAGTTGAACAGTGATTCGAACCAATGATCATAGGTGAGGTGAGGTGAAATGGGGTTTAACTTCGTGCTTGAGAATATTTCGCCTCATATGATGACAAGGTATGTGTATGTGCGCCTGCTTGTACTAGCCAAGACTGCTGGTTTTATAGTGCTAGTCCACTGGGATACCACGCTGCAGTGAAGCATGAATACCTCACTCAGACACATTATACTGACTCGTCCTTGTTGTACCCATTAATGCCGATGGGACCAACAAGTGCTCTTTGGTATGACCACCTAACTTACAACACACCACGGCGTCCCCAATGATCATAGGGTTCTGGCAAGCCCAAGGAACGCAACTGTACAAAACAAATTGAGGTGCCTTAGATGACTGGTCCACCTAGGCACGTCAGGGCCCTGTTGTACAGCGATTGTTTGATTTTCCCATACCTTAACATATTGTCATGACGCCTGAGCAATATTCCCAGCTGTATGTTTGTTTTTTATTGTCACATTGGCTATTCCAGCTCTATAACATTGGCTGTAACAATCAAGTACAGACCAGACAATCCAGTGATAGATAACAGCAGTGATCTCTTGGATGAAAGTTGAATATCATTTTTATACACCTGTCATCATAGTATAAGAATTATGTTGCAAAATGTCTCCAAATGCACAAAATTATTGAAATAAAAATATATTTTAGACATTCAAAATACAAGAAGAACGTAAAATATTTTCAACAAATTATAAAAAACAAGCAAAAAACATATAATGCAACAAAAACAACAAGGGGAGACAACCCTAAAATAATCATACATTGTATAGTGCCGATGGGAATTACTCAATCGACAGTATTTTTTAAAACATTCACAAAGACAATATCAACATGCTAATAGAATATCTCATATACTATTCACACTTTGCTAAGGATCAAATTATGGACTGAACAGAAAACTATGATGTGGGGCCAAGTTTGATTTAAGCATCTTAGCTTATTGTAAGCATGGATCCTAGGTTTCAGTAAGTCATTTCATCTTGTGGAACCCATACCTGCTATTGACAGGTGCTGTGTACTTGCCAATGACTCATTCCATGATATGCAAAATGGTTAATTGGTGCCATGAAAACCATTTTCATGGTTACTCATGTACCAAGTGCATAAGGTTAGATTAAATTGACTGTCTGCCTAAAGAGGGGTTACCATATTATTATTTATCCATTTTTAAATGGATACAATTTCAAATTATAAATCTATGTTTTAGTAAAGCTGTGAATTTTTGTGATCCTTAGCAAAGTGTGAGTAGTATATTAATCACTTTACATGCTAAATGAAGCAATTTCAAAACAAACAAAAAATAGTTAAAAGCATCAAACACTTTAAAAAAACTGTTATTCACAAGGCAATGGAGACAGATTCTGTTATGCCAAAGCTGGTGAGTGAGTGAGTATGGTTTTATGCTGTTTTTAGCAATATTCTAGGGCTTCAAACATTGTGACTGTACCCATGTCTTCGGCGTGACGAGAGAACACTTTAACCACTAGGCGACCCCACAACTCCCTAAAGTCAGTGATACAGGGCAGTTCCTGGCAGTATAGGTACACAGGGGATTTGGTTTTATTCCAGCAACATCACAGTCAGGAACACCAGGGTGCTGTTGTGCAGAACAACCTCAGCGCTAAGACTACCTTAAGTCTGTGTTAAGGTTTGGGGTTACGGTCGCCTTAACGCTAAGATCGCTTTGAGCGACGGCACCCAGCCATGGGCTTCACATTTTGCTCTCATTTACCACTTTGGGGAAATCCAGTACCAGGGGTCCAAGGGATTAACAGAGAGTTTAACACACAAGCATAGGTGTCAAGCTTACAGGAGGGTCAAAACTCTGCACAGCTAATTAAGGGGATATCTATTTCAAAAGGAAGGATTAGACTGTGATCACAGAAATATATCAATATTCTCTTAAGTTCACAGGCAGCCGCATAGTTTCGTTTACACCATGACATGAAAATTTCACAATATAGGGGAGGCAACTCTGCAGAACAAATGGTGCAATCCTGACAACCAGTGTTTTCTTACAAGTGAGTGAGTGAGTGAGTGAGTTGGGTTTTACGCCTTTTAGCAACGTTACAGCAATATCACGGGGAGGGGACACCCAAAATGGGCTTCACACATTGTGCCCATGTGGGGAATCAAACCCTGGCCTTCAGTGCGATGAGCAAACGCTTTAACCACTAGGCTACCCCCACTGCCACTTTTCTTACATGAAGCCAAAATCTAATTTCAAAGAGCACATAACTGCTTTAATTATGTAATATTTGAACAATTCTTGACTCTGCAGGCACCAATATAATGGAAGCTGAATCATTGAGTCGCAGCAATATTAGGTAGAGATAAGCAGCATTAGTACAGTACCCTGTTGACATCACCGCTACTTCAAGGGAACCCATCGCAGCTGGTGAGCTCCTAGTGAGATGGCATTTCCTAACAGGGTGAGCATCGCGAAGGCCCCAAACAATCCCCACTTCCTCTTCTCGGGATCTGCCAGCAACAAGATTCTACTGACCAGACTTCCCACACAGGCACATGCAGACAGGGAGACATTAAGGGCCAACACTTGCAGCAGCTTCCACCCATTGCCAGTTCAAAATCAGGAACAAATTTCTTTCAAATGCAACACAATATGGTTTCTCTGAAGTCCTTTTTAATTGTCTCTTTCTCTAAAGGATTTAACATCCAAGAAATTACTTTTCAATAATCAAAAACTCTTTTGACTGACGTGTTAGCGCTGACCTCTGCAAGAGTGAGCCCATAACATCTCCCGAAAGAAAATAGAATAAAAAATGAAACAAAACAACATCAAACTGAAAAACGATTGTTACCACATTCAAAATCTCATACGACAATGGCCACTGCCGACCCAGCCCAGCTGGTGGGCAGCCAAGGACACCACATTGCCTAGAAGCACCAGCTCTGCAAAATGGCCAAACGCTCCCCATCTCCTCTTCTCAGGGTCTGCAGGCGGAAGTTAGCAATGGAAAAAAACTTACATCAATATTTATCAACTTTCTAAGCCATAAAAACATAACCAGCTCACAATAACCACAAATATATTGAATTCTTAGTTGTAATTACAGTCGAGCACCGTTGTCTTGATATTCATGGGACCAAGAAAAATATTGAGTTATCTGAAATTAACTTCCCTGGGTTTTCAAGAGGTATTGCTTTGTAACAGTCATATACAGAAACGTAGCCTGTATGGTCCAGGAACGTCTTATTAATGATTGTATCAGTCAGTGGAAAGTTGACCTCACGTCAGAACGGCGACGTCAAGGGAGTAGCAAGCTAATACTCTATAACTAGTTCAAGTCAGTGTATACTGCGGAAACATACCTACTGAGACAAATGCCTAAATCTTATAGATCTGCACTATCCAAGTTTCAAGCTGTTTTCATAAATTATCAGGATTGAAACCGGAGATATGAGAAGATTCCACGCGAAAATCTGTACTTGTTTCCACTGTAAATATGTTGTTGAAGACGAGGCACACGCCATTCTTCACTGTCCTTCATATAATGCTATCAGACTGTCCTGAATATAAATGAAAATATCCTGGCTTTTATTAATATGCCGGATATAGATAAACTGGCCACCATTCTTCATGTTGTTGATATTTGTTTTGTTGCAGCCAAAACCTGCCAAGGAATTCTTTGAAGCGCTGTCAGTTATGTAAAACTTTTTCTGTTGCAGATTTTTAAACCGCTTTATAGTCTCCCATAACTCTTTAGATGGTGCTGTTTTAGGTGTGTATATTCCTTCCATGAAAAGATGTAAAAGTAGAGAGACTGAAATAAAATTTTGTCATGAAACGTAGGTGAATATCGAGTTTCTTTGAAAACATCGAGTTAAAGGGGTAATTTTGTTTGTTGGGACCATGAAATTATATCGAGATATCCTAAATATCGTGTTCCGTCTCGATTAAAGAGCTTGAATAATAAACTATGAAAGGATTTTGGCATTATGATGTTATATTAATTTCAACCGAGATATCGGATGCATCAGAGTTTAACACAACGGTGCTCGACTGTACAATATAATGAAAATATATGATAGTTTCACTGTTTCACTCTTCACTATACCCTGGATGCATCCACGGCTTGGCCCGATAATTATATTACCTCCCTTTGCTGGCTCCGCATTCTCACAGTAGCCAATCAGCTAAGCTGCCGTTACATCCGAGCTTGCCAGTGTCAACAAAGATAGCGGTCGCAGTCGCAAGGGTTTGTTCGCAGTGACACTCAGATTTTGGGGGAAATCATACGGACAAATTGACAGATCTGAAACTTTTACAGACAACTTGACAGATCTAAAACTTTAAAAAAATATATGAAAGAACTCCTTCTTCCTCTTTCAGAGTACCTCTGCATCAATTTTGTTGCCAAGTTTAAATGGCTAGATAATTTAAGAAGCGAAAGTGAGTTGTGATTGGTTCGCTCAACTTCCCATCATAGACACCTGATTGGATAAAAAGCCAGCCAAGGGAGGTAATAAAATCATCGGGCCAAGCCGTGGATGCATCCAGGGTATAGTGAAGAGTGATCGTAACGTATGCCCTGAAGATTATCGAGGATGGAGCTAGTCCTGCTTGACGGAAACCTAAGCATGGAAAACTGATTATCAATTGTATCTTCTAATGTTTCTATTCATTGAGGACTCTTTCACCCACAAATTTTACTCTTCATCTCAGTGGATTATCGTGGCAGCGACTGGTATATGACATCTTAAGGTGATACAGCTATAAAACAACACATGTATGTTAAAGTCAGTAAGCCATGTGGTGGAGAAGGGTATAAAACATTGGTCATAGTACATGGCCACAGGGAATCCACCTATTAGTATTAATTTTGGACACAGCATTTATTTTCGTGCCACTGTCATCATATATCAAACATACATTTGTATAGCGCCGATATCCAGCTCAGCTGCTCAAAGGCGCTTTGTTTTTCCCTCGATCACTGGATGTCAATATCAACGGCACATCGTATTGTCAATCTCAACTCCCTAGGGAGCATGCAACCCTTGCAGCCACTAGGCTTAGTCTTGCTTTCCCATCGAGGTACCTATTTAATGTGGCTTTCCCATCCTTTACTGCACGCTGTAGGTACCCATTCACAGCTGGGTGGACTGTGGACACATAGTCACAGTACTTTGTCCAAGGTTTACTGCACGCTGGGCTGTACCTGCAACTGGGTGTTTAGGGCGACGCCACTGTGTTATTTATGTGTCACAGCTTTGTAAATATTCCAGCAATATCACATCAGGGGACACAAAGAAATGGGCTGCACACATTGTGCCAATGTGGGGAATCGTATTTTCAACCAGTTCTCAATATCTTAGGAGTCTTCGGCGCAATATCGAGGGGACACCAACGCTTTAACCACTAGGCTACCCGCTTTAACCACTAGGCCCCCAATCGTAAATAAAAAATGAAGTTCCCCTACTTGTTTTTAAGAGTATATCATTGGTGCAAGATCCTTTCCATCGAAGTATGGTGCCAATTCTCGGTAAATCACATCCAGAAATTGATTCAACAAAATGATCAGTGATCATAAGCAGTGTTCGAAATAATCAAATCTTATTTTGAATTATGATTTGCCACCACGACATGATATTGTCTTCTAAATTGTCTCCCCTTACCTCCGGTGTAGTAGCCGAGGGCATAAGCAATTCTGCTTGCCAGATACACAGCTCCTGCTGCTGCACTGATTTTCTGAAACAAACAATAATCAGTACAATAGAAAAACAAGGGAACAATGCTTGGGACAATACGAATAAGAAGTTACCAGTTGTAGTGATGTTTGTATGGATAAATGAATGAATAATTGACTGACTGACCGAGTATGGCATTATGCCTTTTTTAGCAATATTCCAGCAATGTCATGGCAGGGGGACCCAAGAAATGGGCTTCACAAATTGTACCCATGTGGGGAATCGAACCCAGGCCTTCGGCATGACGAGTGAACGCTTTAACCACTAGACTACCCCACCGCCCATGAATAATCTGAAGACAGGATTATACATCTGAAATACTTAGAAGGTAGACCAGGGTACTGGAGCCCTCCAACAAACAGTAGCATGAGGAACTGGGGATACGATTCTAATCTGAAACAGAAAACACACAAAATGGAAACTAGTGTCCTGACAGCCAGACCGAGTGAGTGAGTGAGTGAGTTTAGTTTTACGCCGCTCTTAGCAATATTCCAGCAATATCACGGCGGAGGACACCAGAAATGGGCTTCACACATTGTACCCATGTGGGGAATCGAACCCGGGTCTTCGACGTGACGAGCGAACGCTTAACCACTAGGCTACCCACAGCCCTAGTGAGTGAGTGAGTGAGTGTGCATCAAGTAACCATGATGTAAAGCACATCCTTGACATTTACTACTTTATGGTGAATAACATGAGAACTGACTGACTGACTGAGTTTGGTTTTACGCCGCTTTTAGCAATATTCCAGCAACATCACGGGCGGGGACACCAGAAATGGGCTAACATCAGAGTGAGTGGAGTGAGTGAGTTTAGTTTTACGCCGCACTCAGCAATATTCCAGCGATCTGTAAATAATCGAGTCTGGACCAGACAATCCAGTGATCAACAGCATGAGCATCGATCTGCGCAATTGGGAACCGATGACATATGTCAACCAAGTCAGCGAGCCTGACCACCCGATCCCGTTAGTCGCCTGTTACGACAAGCATAGTTGCCTTTTGTGGTAAGCATGGGTTGCTGAAGACCTATTCTACCCCGGATCTTCACACATCAGAAAGGTAACAATGCATAATCAATAATCTCTATATCTTCAACACAATGTAGTGCGTGAGTTGGGTTTAATAACAGTATTGTAGTTATATCTAGGCCTGTCAGCTCAATATTGGTGTAAAGCATGAGTGAATGAGTCAGTTAAGCTTTACGCTGCCTTTAGGATTATTTCAGCAATATCACAGCAGTGGACACTGGATACAGGCTTCACACACTGTACTCGTGAAGAATCAAACCCGGATCTTTGGTGTGACTAGCGAACACTTTAACCACTAGGCTACCCCATGGCCCATAAGTAAAGCATGTGTTGCTGGTTTCACATGTTTTACCACTTCAATAAAACCACAAGCACGGGCATAATGCTCACAAATCTAGAAACAATCATGCAGAAGCATGAAATTCTCTCTAGCTAGCTTCAGATAATTTAATTGTGCTGTTTCACCCCACCGCGACAGATAACAACTTTTGCGTTTTCAAGGTGATAGTTTCTTAAACAACTTTTTTGGTGGAGTCCGGAAAATTTTCAAATATAAGAAAGCTGTTGGGTATTAGTAAATGATAAACATGTGTACTATTTATATTTATGTGGCAATTTTGTACAATGATGAAATTTGCAATTCATCGGTCCGTTTCTGACTCAAACGGACTGTAGTAGCATTTGAGCGTGCAGAAAATGTAAACATTATAAATATTTTTCTCCCGTCCCAGAACAACTAGCTACAAACTGATTCCTGAAATATGGTCTCCTCTTGTTGTCAGTAGTACCCTTAAAAACATATATGTCCGGCAGCTTACGTGTTCTGGTGAACTCTCTGAATACAGTTGAACTCCTTAGATGTGGCGCTGTACATGTCGGGATACTGCAACGAAAACAGATAAATCATCAAACCAGCTATACCTGACATCAAACTCAGGGAGGTAGTATTGACTGCAAACTTTGCTGAAGTCAAATCAAGGTCAGAATAAAAAATCTCACCAAAAATGAAACATAAATGTTGAGATTCACTACTCCTACTCCTAGACCAAAGCTGATGACATTCTAAACAGAAGCTGACTGAGTAATGGCCACGACTGGCTTTTTCAATGTTACTTTTGTGGAGGCCAATCCTGAAAATCAGATTCAAACCTCTTGAGCAAACCAAGTTATTTTACGCAGGATTCATGAATGCATGTTGAAAGGTTTCCAATTGTGAGTTATTCACTGGAAACACAACAAACACAGGATAACTTGTTTGTGTTATCAGGGGTCATAATAATGAGATTGTGCCCATAGAGCATCCTTACGTTTGTAAATAGTGCCATAGTTTGTGTGCATTGAGCATGACATGAAGCCTGGAAAGGCACGTTATAAATATTCTTCTTCTTATAATTATTATTATGGATGGACAGTTTCTACAGGACCTACTAGAGCTGGTTCTCTTACTATATTAGCAAAGCTTTCGATCAATAATCAATTATAAGTGTAAAACCTGTCACCAAACTTAGGCCCCCAAAAAAAATATGTCCGCTTCCTATTACATGTTTTTAAAAATAGGTGGGTCGGTTTTATATATATTTTTACTTTTAAATTTTTTTTATAGTAGCACCAGGTGGGCACCTGAGAAGGTCTTCAAGGATACCATATCATGTAGTGACAATGCCTTGTGATGAAACATTGAAAGATTTCTATATCAAATCATTATTTATGCTATTTATTTGCAGGTTTTGTCAGTGAGAGCCCATTATGCTCAAACTCTCTATATCTGACCTCAAACTCAGGATGGAAGTATTGACTGTGAACTTTGCTAAAGTCAGATCAAGGTCAGAAACTAATCTCACCAATTTTGAAACATACATGTTGAGATTCACTACTCCTACTCTTAGACCAAAACTGGCGACATTCTAAACAGAAACTGACTGAGGAATGGCCACGACTGGCTTTTTCGATGTTGCTTTTGTGGAGGCCAATCCTGAAAATCAGATTCAAACCACTTGAGCTTACTGAGTTATTTTATGCAGGATACCTCAACTGAACCGCCATGTTGGATAAATACTGACTGTGTTTGGTTTGACGCCGCTTTTAGCAATATTCCAGCAACATCATGGCGGGGGACACCAGAAATGGGCTTCACACATTGTACCCATGTGGGGATTCGAACCCGGGTCTTCAGCATGACGAGCCAACGCTTTAACCATTAGGCTACCCCACCGCCCAAAGATAAATAAATGTATGTTGAAAGGTTTGTGAGTCATTCATTGGAAACAAAACACAGCAAACACATGGATAACCTGTCTGCTTGGGTTATCAGGGGTAATAATAATGAGATTGTGCGCATTGAGCATCCTAAAATAGTGCCATAGTTTGTGTATATTGAGCCTGGAATGGAGCATTATAGATATTCTTCTCCTTATAATTATTATTATGGATGGATAGTTTCTACAGGACCTACTAGTGCTGGTTCTCTCTTGCATACTTCAAGTCAACTTTCGGAGCTCAGCATTTGATCAATAATCAATTTCATTACCCATATGGGAAGGAGGACACAGGGTAGTATTATTCCTCTAAGCCCCTAGGGAGATTACACCTTTTGGAGAACGTTGATTGGCTGTTTCAGAAAATAAACAGCCAATCAACGTTCACCTAAAAGTGTAACCACCCTGCTGTGTTCATTTTAGCATTTTTTAGATCGAAAACTGATATGGGTAGTAAAAACAATAACTAACTGATCACAGAGAATGACAGATTATTTTCCCTTTGTTATATTAATTATGCCAAGGCTGGAGAACTACATAATTAATAAAACTTGGGAACGATAATCTGTCATTCCCCGTCACTCGCTAGTTATTGTCTAAATAATTGTTAAACCCTCCACATAACTCATATAGGCAGTAACAGGACACAAACATAACACTGTGCAAACAAATCAGGCACTGATTAATACCATGATCAAGTCAATCAAGGATACTTCCTGTTGAGACACGCATGTACGTTGTTTACATTGCCGTTTTACGAGTCAGGAAACTGCATCAGTTGTTTATGTATTAATTCAACAAGAAAAACAATGAAAATGCTTTCTGAAGTTTAATTTGATTTTTCACTTTTTAAAAATATCAATTTGTCTCCCGAGCCGATTGATAACTGCTAACACAAGGGAGATCAGTATTGAAGATTTATTCTATCAATAGTGCTAGAACTCCATATGGGTATGGATTCAGAGTGTGTTTAGTTTTATGTCGTACTCGGCAATACAATATGATTCAGAAACATGTCATCATGGTGTGGATCACATTACATAAGTTTAAAAAGACAAATTGGTCAGGCGAGGCTCCCAAAATTATTTATGGCATTAGGCAGCGTTTAAAATTCCGGAATGGTCTTTTTCATCTCGGACGGTCAAACTTCAAAAGTAGCCTGTCCGGTGGTCTGGTATATCTTTTCACCCCTAACAGTAAATATATCATAACATCAGACATGTTCTCTTGTCGTCAGTTTGAGATGTTTAAAGTACTATGATAATTATGTTAAACTATTTACGATTGGACAGTTCATATTACAATAACCAATCACAACACATGTACTTTCAGTTTACCTAAACTAGGTGCATTGCCTCTTGCATCCTGGTTCCCGGGCCCCTCATTAGTTTATAAAAACTAATGAGAGGCCCGGGAACAACTGTCCTGAACTGAACAGGCCCGGGAACCAGGATGTGCCTCTTAGTGCTATGTAGTTCAGTAAAGTATTAAGAAACCTGATTTTAAAAAAAAAAATTCATTGTTGAAAACCGGACAGGCAAGTTTGTATCCGGACTGGTAATGTTTTAAAGTTACCTGTCAGGCTGTCTGGCTTGGGGTTTCGGGAGTTTTAAACACTGCATTAGGTCAAATATAGACAAAGAAGCAACTGATTCTAAATGGCATTGTGTATTCATAGCTGCCTGATGTTTCTGCTCTGACACATCTCTGTTTAACCTCTTACCTGAACCTCAAACTTCTTCCTAGCTCTGCCAACATTGATGGCCATCCACATGTTGACGAAGATGCTGCCCGTGCCAGCGAACACTACGTAGCCGTACCCCTCAGGGAGCGTCTCAAAGAACTTCGACAACACCATGACTCAGCTGAAATCAGATAATTACTTCCAGAATATAACAGAACATTTTTAATAGATCTTGCATGACATTGTCTTGCCTAGAATATTTATCATATAATCATTCTTTAATAACTGTGTTAAAACCAGTAAGAGTTCTGCCGGTAACCACCACTTGAAAAGTATTCTATATATTATGTTAATTTCAAGGGGGTTAGGGTTTAGGTTTAGGGTTTAGATTCAGCATTATGTTAGGTTTAGGGTTAGGGTTAACATAGGCTTTTTATAAAAACCATCAATTCTTACTATAAATCTTAGGCATGGAATGATAATAAAACGAGGGTTACCGGCGGAAATCTTTCCTTAAAACCTACCTCGAACTACAAAATGAAAATAGAAAAGAAAATTCATCCAGGACATATATAATTTACTTGAACTTGAACTAGAATTTTCCCCACCTTTTGATCTCCAAAACTGCGCTGTTATTAATGCGAGAACTAAATTTATAAAGAACCTGTAAATACACACTGTTTCAAGGGTAAGTCAACAATACTTTGACAATTACCATAAACTGTACGAAGTAGTCAATATCTTCAAGGTGCACTTCACAAATGAAGTCGTGAAGACAGGTAGGACACTAACAATTTGAAGATAAATATGGACCAAAGTCCAAGCCCCTGTTTGCCCAAACTGACGAAATTTACTAGCATGTTATATCATGCACAGCGTTATCACTTCGCATTGATAGACATGTTAGACTCTGGGAAACCCGTTCCTTGCGGTTTCGTCAGCTAAATTCATTATCACACGATTGACACTGAAGTGTCCACGCCGTTCAGCTTTAATGTTTGTATAATTTAAGTTTTACAACTAGTTAGTTACTTCATGACAGGTCATAATTTTAATAGTGCTCACGCATATAATTATAAACCCACCTGAAGCGATACGTGATACGGCTGCTGCAACTGACCTTGAGTCCTCCACGAGCTTTCTGGAAGGGGACGCGAAATGAGAGTGATCTCCCTTAGACAAGAGGATCAATTTTGGTTAACGTACCACACTGAAACAAGACGTTATAACATGTCCACTAAGGGAGTTTAAAGAGATGATTGTGTACTTCATACCACCAATGCCTCCCCAAAATTTCAGAAAACACCGAAAACGTACAACTAGGCCTACAGTTAGCAGTTTTGAATTTTTATTAGTGTTTTTAAATACTTATACCAGTGATAACAACAATAGCAACATCTACGTTTTACTCGAAGCTTAATTTCAAATTCAGTTTGATATATCCAAGTCTTTGATGCAAAAAGAGAGAGAGAGAGAGAGAGAGAGAGAGAGAGAGAGAGAGAGAGAGAGAGAGAGAGAGAGAAGAGAGAGAGAGAGAGAGAGAGAGAGAAATTATATTATTGTCTTAGAAAACGCTCTTCTACTTCATTGTGACATCAGGCCATTTCTTCAAATCCCAAATCTGATACTGGGTCTGTCAATCCTGTCCTCTCAGGTTTCTCCCAAGCACTATGTATTTAACACCTGCTTTACCTCGACCATCCGACCCAGTTCATCTGACCGTTGTATGTGACTTCTAAAATACTATTCAAACTCACGTTCTGCACTGGCCGACCCAAACACTCATGCTGTTTTAAAAGAAAACGCGCTAATAAATTCATCTATAATCATCTTTAATTATCTTTATGTTGTAACTTCAACTTAGCTTGGCTTCGTGTTAAAAATATGCGGAAAATATTTGAAAACAATGTGTTAACTGGTAGTCAAAAACTTGTGTAGCAAACAAATGTGTGGTGGGTTATAAAAAACTTGTTAGGAACGATCAAGCGTTGGTGTAATCTAAACCCTTTGAGAATTCAAAGTCCCCAGTGTTGTAAAGTTATGGTACAACACACTGAGCTATACGTCGTAGGCTGACCATTGACTTGAGGGGCGGTGGCGTAGTCTAGTGGTTAAAGCATCCGCTCGTGACGCCGAAGGCCCGGGTTCGATTCCCCACATGGGTACAATATGTGAAGCCCATTTCTGGTGTCCCCTGCCGTAATATGTTGCTGGAATATTGCTAAAAGCGGCGTAAAACCAAACTCACTCACTGTTAAACAAGTAAAAGTTCAGACTTAAGTTTGTTTCATAAAATCGGGACTTCGTTTTCATTTGCTCTCTTTTTAAAATGTCCATACGTTAATGTTACATAATAAAATTAACGTGCACTTCATATATATGCTACGGTTAGTGCCGCGTACCAGTTGTTGTGTTGTGATAGTGTATCTTGTGTTTATTGTCTCATTAAATAATACTCCATCCAGATAGTGTTTTCTTAAACTTGAAGGGCGGTGGGGTAGCCTAGTGGCTAAAGCGTTCGTCGTCACGCCGAAGGGCCGGGTTCGATTCCCCACATGGCTACAATGTGTGAAGCCTAGTCTGGTGTCCCCCACCGTGATACTGCTCGAATATTGTTAAAAGCTGCGTAAATCACAACTCACCCATAATGACTCCGTTACACTAGTCCAGGTGACCTAAGTTCGAGCGCAAGGCAGGGTAACTAAAGTGCCATTTGTACAATTATCTTGGTTTGACGCAGCCTGGGTTTCGACCCACCGACCTTCCGATGTCCATCAGACCACGGATGCGGTAATATCCATATCAAAGACCGAAACTAAAAACAACAAAAGTGTTGACATGAAAGAGAACAAACGATTGTTTTATGTAAGAAATACTATATATCTTCAGTTCATGGTTTAGGTTAATAGATCCGTCTATATGGCACGTCTTCTGAGTAAATTACACACATGTAGATCGACCCTCACAAAAAGCCAGAACTAACAAAAGTGTCCCTCAAGGCTTTTTCTTCCGGCTCTGTTAATGACTGAAGAGGGGATCGTGTTGGGCCTCCATAAAATCCGAACCATTCCATGGCTTTCTTTACCCCCGCTATACCGTACACCTTCGTCACAGCGGCATTGGGCGCTATCAGCCGATGCTGGAGTAGCTTAGCTTCGTTCAACTTCCCTTCCTTGACAAGCTGCTCAAGTTGGCACAATGGACCACCCAGAACATTTGCCAGAGCACACACCCCTCCGACACTTCCAACACCAAGAGCCGGGTACAGAAAACTGGCAGACCCGGATAGCACCTGGAACCCATCCTTGGAAGTATTGTGCACCAAACTCCCAATTCTGGCGACGTCACCCCCACTTTCTTTGATTCCGATGATATTCGGATGTTTGGCGAGCTGTATAATGGCATCGGGGGGTAGATCGATGCCGGTGTTTGAAGGAACGCTGTAGAGAATCACTGGAACCGGACTGTCGTCTGCTACGCGAGTGTAGTGTTGGATGAAAGCGCCCGAGGTCATGCGTCCTTTGTAATAACATGGCGTCACTACCAAAACAGCCTCTGCTCCAGCAGACGACATTTCCCGGGTCATATTGATCGTGTCACGCGTCGACTCGCAGCCCGAACCAGCGATCACCATTTTACCTGGACCAGCAAAGTCTTTAACGCGTCTTACGGCTTCAACTCTCTCCTGAGGAGTCATGAACGTATACTCCCCAGTCGAACCTTGAACTACATATCCACGAAGAGGAATCTCGTTCCATTTCTTGATATTTGATTCGAGTTTATCCCACGCGATTGTCTCGTCTGCGTTGAATGGGGTTGGGATGGGAGGGAAAATTCCGCTGATGTCCTTAGTTGATGTGGAACTGTAGAGACGTGCCGTAATCGAAGGCCACACAGCACGAACTAGTCTAGATACCGTATGCATGGTTGTGGCAGTTTTCAAAACTTCACTCCGACAGGGGATCGCTTTGCATGTGAGGCGTTCGCTGTTCAAACCTGCGCGGTGTGCTGGTGTTGACGTTGCACTTTCAAATTCGAGGCCGGGTTATCATTTCGCCTTGTCATTATCCAATGTCAGACGGCTTGTGAGCTACCTGACTTGACATATTATCTATGTGTAATGTAAGATGCATATGCAAACTGTCGAACCGAGCTGGAAAATCACGTGGTCGACATCGTGACCTTTGACCCGGTCATGATGCTTACCCACAACTGTTTTTTTGTGTGTGTATATAATCAACAGCTACTCGATATTTAGAATCGTATCTATCAGAACAATTTATGCATCTATTGCGTACATATTAAGTTGGAATAATGCATATTTCTTTCGTTATTAATAGAACAAAGTCTTCAGTAATGATGAATAGACGGAGCCAAGTTCAACTCGTTTTTGCATGGTGTTCACAATGATAATGTTTTCTATCATCCCGACCATTCCGCAACCGCACTGACATAGATTTCTGGACACCGACCTCGATATTAATAATGAAATATTCTCCGTTTTATATCAGGAAGTAGCACCATCGATATTAATAAAGGCATCGATGTGACTGTTAAATAAATTACATTTCTGAAGGAAATATATGATTGTTTACAGAATCGAATAACGTATATATAAGACAGAACCTCTCATCTATATTCTCCCAAACTGAATAAATCTACAAATGATACTGATCTGATATTGATAAGTATCTGCAATGCCATTGATATCTGAGGGCGGTGGGGTAGCCTAGTGGTTAAAGCGGTCGCTCGTCATGACCAAGAGCCGGGTTCGATTCCCCACATGTGTACATTGTGTGACCACATGGGTACAATGAATGAAGCCCATTTCTGGTGTCCCCCGCCGTGATATTGCTGGAATATTGCTAAAAGCGGCGTAAAACCAAACTCAGTCAGTCAGTCAGTCACATTGTGTGAAGCCCATTTCTGGTGTCCTTTGCCGTGATATTGCTGGAATATTGTTAAAAGCGGCGTAAAACTAAATTCACTCAATGATAGCCGGAGAAACGATTGTACAAAATCTAATATTTGACCTGGTGGCCACATGACTAGCGGGCTTGAGATAAAGTACACTAAAATGGTTAATGTACACGTCGACATCATGGTTAGACTTGGTCTTCTGGTATCGGGTGGTCAGGCTCGCTGACAAATTACGTAGAACGATGCTCATGATGTCAATCATTGGATTATCCGATCCAGACTCTATTATATGCACACTGCCGCCATTGGAGTATTGCTGAGTGCGACGTAAACACCAAACTAAGTCAACAATCTTTTACACCGACTGACACGGAAGCGGAGCAGCATGGAAAGAGGCCCGAGACGCAATACCAACCAATGATCAGTCAGCATATTGTCCGTATATTACATGTAATTTTATCATTGAATTAACACACCACTTACCTGTAAACTGACCGACCTTTGTTGTTTTCCTTATATTCAGTTATTGATACGAACGATTACCAGATATGAATTTCTCATGTCTGCATGCATCGGGAGTGATTTGTGGTAGTAGCATTAAAATATACATATGGAAATTAAAATGTAAAATCTCAATGGAACTCACGATAATGCTTCTTTCAGTCTGAGGCAAGAGCTGAGATAATTTAGACTTGAGTCAGCATAATTGTTTTAACTTAGTATTTTGGGATAAGAGGCTGACAGAATGCTTCATAGTTTTGGCTAACGTGGTAATAAAGGCATGAGGATCAGACCTCGCTCACATATCGCGAGACCAGTTCTCATAAATGTTTACTCAAAGTGACATGTTTCAGCCTGTTTCACATGCATGTATGTCGAAGTTAACGAGGTCACTGAACTCTTTACTTGGGAATAAAACGCGGTCTGTAGGTTAGATGAAGTACGTTGGTTTATATTACAGAAAAATACCAAAAGTTATTGAATGATGATGATAAAACAATTACCAACCTGCCACTAGGTTCCAGCGCTATGTAAGTTAAAATTATTGTGTCATGAGAGATGGAGGAATTTGTAAACTGGGATCCGTCTCTAATATCGCGATGTAAGTTTGCGGCATGTTGACGCGCGCATAGGAAGGCGGGAGCCAGCTGAGAGAAATCTATTGATGATGATGATGATGTGATGAGCTCTACGAAGCTGCCAACGGCCCTGCAGATGCGAAGATAATGACAAGCCTGGAACGCTAATGATGATTGATGATAATGATGATGACTATAACGACAGTGGACGTTGCGCTGCGGTAATGATTGTAGTCCCGACGACAATGGCAGCACTCGGACGGTGATGAGGTTGTTGTTAATGATGATGATGATGATGATGATGATGACAGTCACTAAGTCGGCGTATCGAAATTAGTTTACAAACTAAAAATGTATGGCGATAATGATATTACAAAATGGATAAGCTTTTAAAGTAGAAAATATTTCTTTTTAATATAATGCCATCTGCAATATTGATGCTATGGACTCTCTTTACTATTCGACGTGGAGTCGTCGTTCATACAAAATCATGATGTCGTACAGTAACGTAAGACGAACGTGTGGCTATGGTTTCCCAGCTCATGCAAGGTGATTCTGAGCCACACTTAATTCTCAGTTGTCGCTCAGATGAAAATAACGTCCTCAAGCCTATGAGTATTTTTTTTATTGACTAGCCCTTTTAAATTAATAATGCAAAATAAAGTGTTCCCTATGCCTATCATTTGTTTGTTTAACAACGCATTCAGCACCCCTGCATCACCCCAACCCCCACTCTTGATCCACCAGCAGGGATTTCAGGTCAGAACTGGTCACTAGCAGACAATGGAACCAAATGGTAGGAGAGGTCAGGCACTATGACTTGGTAACCAATGGAACCAAATGGTAGGAGAGGTCAGGCACCGTGACTTGGTCACCAATGGAACCAAATGGAAGGAGAGGTCAGGCACCATGACTTGGTTACCAATGGAACCAAATGGAAGGAGTGGTCAGGCACCGTGACTTGGTCACCAATGGAACCAAATGGAAGAAGAGGTCAGGCACCATGACTTGGTAACCAATGGAACCAAATGGAAGGAGAGGTCAGGCACCGTGACTTGGTCACCAATGGAACCAAATGGAAGGAGAGGTCAGGCACCGTGACTTGGTAACCAATGGAACCAAATGGAAGGAGTGGTCAGGCACCGTGACTTGGTCACCAATGGAACCAAATGGAAGGAGAGGTCAGGCACCGTGACTTGGAAGGAGAGGTCAGTGAACCAATGGAACCAAATGGAAGAGGAGAGGTCCAAATGGAAGGAGAGGTCACCGTGACTTGGTCACCAATGGAACCAAATGGAAGGAGTGGTCAGGCACCGTGACTTGGTCACGAATGGAACCAAAATGGAACCAAATGGAAGGAGAGGTCAGGCACCATGACTTGGTCACCAATGGAACCAAATGGAAGGAGAGGTCAGGCATCGTGACTTGACTTGGTCACCAATGGAACCAAATGGAAGAAGAGGTCAGGCACCGTGACTTGGTCAAACCAATGGAACCAAATGGAAGAGTGGTCCGTCACCGTGACTTGGTCACCAATGGAACCAAATGGAAGGAGAGGTCAGGCACCCTGACTTGGTCACCAATGGAACCAAATGGAAGGAGTGGTCAGGCACCGTGACTTGGTCACCAATGGAACCAAATGGAAGGAGAGGTCAGGCACCGTGACTTGGTAACCAATGGAACCAAATGGAAGGAGAGGTCAGGCACCGTGACTTGGTCACCAATGGAACCAAATGGAAGGAGAGGTCAGGCACCGGACCAATGGAAACAAATGGAACCGTCAGGCACCTTGACTCACCAATGGAACCAAATGGAAGGAGAGGTCAGGCACCGTGACTTGGTCACCAATGGAACCAAATGGAAGGAGAGGTCAGGCACCGTGACTTGGTAACCAATGGAACCAAATGGAAGGAGTGGTCAGGCACCGTGACTTGGTCACCAATGGAACCAAATGGAAGGAGAGGTCAGGCACCGTGACTTGGTAACCAATGGAACAAATGGAAGGTGAGTCAGGCACCGTGACTTGGTCACCAATGGAACCAAAGGAGTGGAACCGTGACTTGGTAAAATGGAACCAAATGAGAGTGGTCAGGCACCGTGACTTGGTAACCAATGGAACCAAATGGAAGGAGTGGTCAGGCACCGTGACTTGGTCACCAATGGAACCAAATGGAAGAGAGTCAGGCACCGTGACTTGGTCACCAATGGAACCAAATGGAAGGAGAGGTCAGGCACCGTGACTTGGTCACCAATGGAACCAAATGGAAGAAGAGGTCAGGCACCGTGACTTGGTAACCAATGGAACCAAATGGAAGGAGTGGTCAGGCACCGTGACTTGGTCACCAATGGAACCAAATGGAAGGAGAGGTCAGGCACCGTGACTTGGTCACCAATGGAACCAAATGGAAGGAAGAGGTCAGGCACCAAATGACTTGGTCACCAATGGAACCAAATGGAAGAAGTGGTCAGGCACCGTGACTTGGTCACCAATGGAACCAAATGGAAGGAGTGGTCAGGCACCGTGACTTGGTCACCAATGGAACCAAATGGAAGGAGTGGTCAGGCACCGTGACTTGGTAACCAATGGAACCAAATGGAAGGAGTGGTCAGGCACCGTGACTTGGTCACCAATGGAACCAAATGGAAGGAGAGGTCAGGCACCGTGACTTGGTCACCAATGGAACCAAATGGAAGAAGAGGTCAGTCACCGTGACTTGGTAACCAATGGAACCAAATGGAAGGAGAGGTCAGGCACCGTGACTTGGTCACCAATGGAACCAAATGGAAGGAGAGGTCAGGCACCGTGACTTGGTAACCAATGGAACCAAATGGAAGGAGTGGTCAGGCTTGGTCACCAATGGAACCAAATGGAAGAAGAGGTCACACCGTGACTTGGTGGAACAAATGGAAGGAGTGGTCCAATGGTCACCAATGGAACCAAATGGAAGAAGAGGTCAGGCACCGTGACTTGGTCACCAATGGAACCAAATGGAAGGAGAGGTCAGGCACCATGACTTGGTAACCAATGGAACCAAATGGAAGGAGTGGTCAGGCACCGTGACTTGGTCACCAATGGAACCAAATGGAAGGAGAGGTCAGGCACCGGGTCACCAATGGAACCAAATGGAAGGAGAGGTCAGGCACCGTGACTTGGTCACCAATGGAACCAAATGGAAGAAGAGGTCAGGCACCATGACTTGGTAAATGGAACCAATGGAACCAAATGGAAGGAGGAGGTCAGGCACCGTGACTTGGTCACCAATGGAACCAAATGGAAGGAGAGGTCAGGCACCGTGACTTGGTAACCAATGGAACCAAATGGAAGGAGAGGTCAGGCACCGTGACTTGTCACCAATGGAACCAAATGGAAGGAGAGGTCAGGCACCGTGACTTGGTCACCAATGGAACCAAATGGAAGGAGAGGTCAGGCACCATGACTTGGTAACCAATGGAACCAAATGGAAGGAGTGGTCAGGCACCGTGACTTGGTCACCAATGGAACCAAATGGAAGGAGAGGTCAGGCACCGTGACTTGGTAACCAATGGAACCAAATGGAAGGAGAGGTCAGGCACCGTGACTTGGTCACCAATGGAACCAAATGGAAGGAGTGGTCAGGCACCGTGACTTGTCACCAGTGGAACCAAATGGAAGGAGAGGTCAGGCACCGTGACTTGGTAACCAATGGAACCAAATGGAAGGAGAGGTCTGTCACCGTGACTTGGTCACCAATGGAACCAAATAGAAGAAGAGGTCAGGCAACCCTAACTTGGTCACCAATGGAACCAAATAAAAGGAGAGCTCAGGCACCATGACTTGGTAACCAATGGAACCAAATGGAAGGAGTGGTCAGGCACCGTGACTTGGTCACCAATGGAACCAAATGGAAGAAGAGGTCAGGCACCGTGACTTGGTAACCAATGGAACCAAATGGAAGGAGTGGTCAGGTCACTATGACTTGGTAACCAATGGAACCAAATGGAAGGAGAGGTCAGGCACCGTGACTTGGTCACCAATGGAACCAAATGGAAGGAGAGGTCAGGCACCGTGACTTGGTCACCAATGGAACCAAATGGAAGAAGAGGTCAGGCATCCTGACTTGGTCACCAATGGAACCAAATGGAAGGAGAGGTCAGGCACCGTGACTTGGTCACCAATGGAACCAAATGGAAGAAGAGGTCAGGCACCATGACTTGGTAACCAATGGAACCAAATGGAAGGAGAGGTCAGGCACCGTGACTTGGTCACCAATGGAACCAAATGGAAGAAGAGGTCAGGCACCGTGACTTGGTAACCAATGGAACCAAATGGAAGGAGTGGTCAGGCACCGTGACTTGGTCACCAATGGAACCAAATGGAAGGAAGAGGTCAGGCACCACTTGGTGGGAACCAAATGGAAGGAGAGGTCAGGCACCGTGACTTGGTCACCAATGGAACCAAATGGAAGGAGAGGTCAGGCACCGTGACTTGGTCACCAATGGAACCAAATGGAAGGAGAGGTCAGGCACCGTGACTTGGTCACCAATGGAACCAAATGGAAGAAGAGGTCAGGCACCGTGACTTGGTAACCAATGGAACAGTCAGGCACCACTTGGTCAAAATGGAACCAAATGGAAGAAGAGGTCAGGCACCATGACTTGGTCACCAATGGAACCAAATGGAAGAAGAGGTCAGGCACCGTGACTTAGTAACCAGTGGAACCAAATGGAAGGAGAGGTCAGGCACCATGACTTGGTCACCAATGGAACCAAATGGAAGAAGAGGTCAGGCACCGCGGACTGGGAACCAAATGGAAGGAGAGGTCAGGCACCGTGACTTGGTCACCAATGGAACCAAATGGAAGGAGAGGTCAGGCACCGTGACTTGGTAACCAATGGAACCAAATGGAAGAAGAGGTCAGGCACCATGACTTGGTCACCAATGGAAGCAAATGGAAGGAGAGGTCAGGCACCGTGACTTGGTCACCAATGGAACCAAATGGAAGAAGAGGTCAGGCACCGTGACTTGGTCACCAATGGAACCAAATGGAGGAAGAGGTCAGGCACAGTGACTTGGTCACCAATGGAACCAAATGGAAGGAGTGGTCAGGTACTATGACTTGGTAACCAATGGAACCAAATGTAGGAAGAGGTCAGGCACCGTGACTTCGTCACCAATGGAACCAAATGGAAGAAGAGGTCAGGCACCGTGACTTGGTAACCAATGGAACCAAATGGAGGAAGAGGTCAGACACCATGACTTGGTCACCAATGGAACCAAATGGAAGAAGAGGTCAGGCACTGTGACTTGGTAACCAATGGATCCAAATGGAAGGAGAGGTGACAGGCACCGTGACTTGGTCACGCAAGGTCTCTCTGCTCCTAAGGTGAGACCACACGTGTCACATGTGCTTCTTTGTGGGACAGGGCTGAGTGAGTCAAGAGACAAGGTGACATCAGCCATCGTTGCTGAACTTCAACTGAAATGGAACCTGGGCTCTATGCACAGGACCACACACCACTGTATCCCAATGTTTGTCTGACTGTGGAGATTTCAAAGTACTATAGGTAATATATTTCAGGTGAACCAACAAATGTGGTTCCAGGTCCTCTGAATCTTCAGTTGAGGTGTGCTAATTAGAATGACCTCACCCTTAGGTTCATTTATGCTTACCAGCAAGATTGAGTGAGTTTAGTTTTACGCCGCTTTTAGCAATATTCCAGCAATATCACAGCGGGGGACACCAGAAATGGGCTTCACATATTGTACCCATGTAGGGAATCAAACCCGGGTCTTCGGCGTGACTAGCTAACGCTTTAGCCTCTAGGCTACCCCACTGCCCCTTTACCAGCAAGAGAATAGTTTGGTCCCCAATATATGAATCTGTATGACAAATGATTTGTGAACATGCTTTCATGACGTATTGTACATATTGATGCTCATGATGTCAATCACTGGACTGTCTACTCCAGACTTGACCACTGTCATACAGCTGTAATGAATAAACAAACAAACGTAACTATGAGGTATAGATTTCCATAGTCACAAAATAAAAAAGAATCACAATCAAGTCACTTCAACTGTTGTCTAATTTATTTCATTTTAACATACACACAATGAGGTATTGAGAAATAAAACTACAGACTCGCTCTAGGGCACATTCTAACCAACACACATTAAAAAAAGTGGCACCTTACCCTCCCCCAATCTGACCTCACCTTGACCTCTCCGACTTTATCTTGAACTCACACCTAACTTTGATCTTTCCCTTCACCATAGCCTCTCACACCTAACAATGACCTATCCAATCTCTGCTTTACCTTCCAACCTGTCCTTGACCTCTCATATCTTTGACCTACTGCCTCTTTGACCCTCCCATCTAACCCTGACTTTCCCATGTAACCTTGACCCTCATTCCTCACCTTGACCCTCGAATCTCATGTGGACTCCCTCCCACCCAACTGCTCTTATTTGGAAAGAAACCCATTTCTTTGTTTTAACACATAAAATGACTTGGTCTGCTATATTTCTTGTTATCACTGCCATCACTACATGCATTTAATATACCATCATACCCAAATACATTCTCCTGAAAATCAGATCTGATAGTCTGATATGACACTTCACCAACAACACCTCAATAGTGACTACCGGTATTATCATTTAACTCTCTAATCCACCAATCAGCATCACAGCGTTTAAATGAGATTGTCCCAACAATGGCTGGTTACATAACCATTCACCCTCACGCAATCAAACATTTCATGATCAAACTCCCTCCTATATTCATAAACATTGACATTTCATAGCAATATGTCATACAATTTAGTCATTAAATCATAACTTGGATTCATATATGCTACTCCATTCTTGACAAGGATATTTATATCTTTTTATGCTACACAAAATTAAATCTCACCTTATGTCAAGTGTATATTTATATAAAATGGCATATCTGTATGTTAAAACTTGCATATATAAAGTGAGGCGTTTGGGAGTGGGGTGTTCAGCAGTAAAAAGCCATAATTTTATTATACTAATCTGAAATTTTGATTTATATTTGAGGTGAGGGGGTGGTTTGGATGCAAATGGCATCCAATTTCCAATTTAAATAAGAAATGTAAGATTCTGCAGTGCCACAATACAACATTTCGTATCATTATGTCATGTAATAATACAAAATGATAATCACACAGGGCTCCAGATAGGTTTTCAACATCAGGAGTACGTACTCTTCATTTTCTCAATATAGGAGTACTGGAAAACCTTAAGTGTACATTTAGAGTACTGAATGGAATTTAATGGAGTATCAGTAATCTTGTGTTTCGTTTCATATATGCACCACAACATTGCTGCTCTTGTGTAAACAGGTCAATAAACAATAAAACAATACCTTTTCAGATAAATACGTCTGTAAATGATTCTAAGACCGTGCACCATTGCTGTGGTGCGTATCTGCTACGTTTTCTAAATTATTTCCTACCGTACCGTGCATATTTTTTTATCCGTACATACGCCGATACGGCCCTCATCTGGAGCCCTGATCACAACAAGAAGCACATATGATTTGGTACCAAACAAAAATTGCTGTTTTTCGATGTAATGTGAAAGATTGTTTATGCCAAAGGTGTTAATGCTTAATTCAACATGACTGTATTGAATGGAATCTGACAAAAAATTAAACATACCTATGAAAACACGAACTTCAAAAATATACCAGTTTTGAACAATTTATAAAAAAATCTCAATTTGCCTGCCAAGGATACTCAGTATAGAATCCTAGACAAATCCTTGCATTAACAAAAGATAATAATAAATTTGGGTACCAAAGTCAGTTCTTTCAGTGAATGCCATTACTGTCTGTGCTTAGCTGGAGTTATTTTGCTTCCTCAACTAATACAACATCGTAGCTCATGTTCACTCATAATATATTTCTGAAGTGCCAGTTTTTTGGTAAACATACACTACCCCCTGAATCTATTCCCATGGTTCTTGCAATCTCAAATTACCCGCCCTTGATATCCATTTGCAAATTTGATTGGCTATGCTACATACCAATCAGAATGTGTGTTGCAAACCATCATCAATGACGGGTTTGCAATATCAAAATTATCACTGCCATTGCCACAAATTATGATCACATTTAAGAGAAATTAAGTTTTGAAAAACTTAATGACATGCCAAACAAAATCCTTAGATTTCTTTTTGATGTAAAAGATGTCTTTATTACAGATGAAAGTTGCAGTGACTTTGGTTTCTAGGTAATATGAGTTACCTCCCTTACACTTTCACGTATGTTAACATTTAATCATGGTGAAATAATCTGCAATCAGCCATGGTAAAGTTTCAAGAGTTTGTATCAGTTTACCGAAAAGCGAGCCCTTGAGATAAAGAATAATATTCACTTTGATTTGGTTTTTAGCAAACTATAAAACATTTTCAACAAACATATAAGGAAATGAGAAAATGAAACAGTCGTGTGACCTTGTCAGCATGATAACTAGTATTTTAATAAAAAGAACTTTGATGAGGATGTTTTGGATGGGCCTAAACTTGTGACTCAGCACTACATATTAGTAGGAAAGACTGGACCACCGGACCCTGTGAATGAAGAATCACCTCCCGGATCTGACTTCTTGCTGAACACATCTGAAAACTCAGACTCTCGTCCATTGTCACACGAGAACATGTTCAGAGCGGTCTGAACAACGCTGTTCAGATCTGTCGATGATATATCTGACTTCAGATTTGGCGGCATCGGAAACAGGCTCCCTGAGCTTGTCTCGGCTGCTGCACTATGGCCATGCATTGAGGACTGAGAGAACATGTTCGTCAGGTGACTTGGAATATGTTCAGATGAAGGTGGATATGCTGGATTGTTCATGAAACCGAACATGTTCATGATATTATCTGTGGAACTGAGGCTACCCGTCTGCTTGGCTTGAAACATACTCGGTCTCTTGAACATGTTCATAGCATAATCGTTTGGCACAAGGGGAGGGTTCATTTGAGGAAAGGGATAGCCCAACTGCATGCTCCTGTTCATTGCAAGGAGGTCGTGCATTTGTGGGTCGAATCCAAGATTGGTTGAGTCCTGTGCCAGGACCTGATCTGACCTTGAGGTGTCAATGGCACTTCTCATATTCATCGAGAGACTAGCGAAATGGTTTTGTGTTGGATTTACGAGATAATTCCCTCCAGTTGACCCTGGGGTGGGATGTGAATTCTCATGGCTGAGTATCTGGCTTGAATGAGTTGCTACAAGGTTGGGGTTGGCAGTTGACTCATCCAAGTTACACGTGCTGGTGCTAGAGCTGGTTGCACCCTGGCTTGAACTTGAAGATGCTATGGAAGAGTTAAGTCTTTGACCAGGGATTGTCATGTCAGGATTGATGGCAGCTGGGGGTCTGGATACACTAGATGCTGGTATGGATTCAATGGCTTCAGAGTGGGATTCAGAGGCTGATGGTCTGAATTCGCTGGCTGCAGCTCTCGATGTACTAGTTGTGAGTCTGGAGTCCGTGATTGAAGCTCTGGATTCAATTGTTGCTGGTCTGAATTCACTGATTGCAGGTCTGAAGTCACTGGTTCCAGGTCTTGATTCACTGGTTGTTGGTCTTGCATCCTCTGGTGCTGAGTCAAGACTTGACGAAGGTGGTTCCTCCATTACATTGTTGTCAGTTTCAATAGGATTTGATTCATGAGAAGTTGAAGAATTAGCTGCTTCTTCAGGGGCTTTGCCCTTTGGGCCGGTACTTGCCCCAAGGTCACGGTTACTATTATCTGACTCTGTAGCAGCAGGAGACTTAGGACTTTCACGATTAGAACTACTTGTTGAAGGACAAGCACTTGTCAAAGGATCTTTGGAGGAATTCGTGTTTTCATTTTCAGATTGTTCCTGTTCAGCAAGATCAGATTCATTGAGGCTCATAGCTGCAGCAGATGCTGAAAACAGCTTTTGATTGGCTGCAATTAATTGTTCAAATCCAGGAGATAGATCCATAGGAAAAGCCATGTTCAGTGGAGGAGGCCCTGTAGGGGTTGCCTGATCTCCACTCACACCTGGCATGGCTGTCATCTGCATGTACTGCCTAGAAAGTTCCTGCATCCGACTCCACAGTAGAGCATTCTCAGCGTAGAGCTCTGTGGCGTGAGTCCTCACCATGTGGGTCTGCATGTTGGACATGGTGGTGAAATCCTTGCCACACATCCGACATGAGTACGGCCTCACCCCAGTGTGCGTCCTCATGTGAACTTGATAATTTCCGACGCTCGCGAAGTCTTTACCGCAGACATGGCAGACGTGGGGCTTCTCGCCAGTGTGGGTGCGGATGTGGATCTTCAGAGCTTGCATGTTGGAGAAGTTCTTGTCGCATTCTCCGCAGCTGAACGGTCTTTCCCCGGTGTGGATACGCATGTGAGCCTGCATGTTCCCTTGACTCGTGAACGCTTTATGACAGAATGTGCATTCAAAGGGCTTCTCTCCAGTGTGAGAACGGACATGAATATGAAGTGATTGCAAGTTCCTGAAATCCTTCCCACACATTTGACATTTATACGGCTTTTCCCCGGTGTGGGTACGTTGATGGACTTTGAGGTTTCCCTGACCAGCAAAGCCCTTCCCACATTCAGCACATTTATAAGGTTTTTCGCCTGTGTGGGTGCGGATATGTACTTGTAGATTTTGGGCAGTGCCGAACTCCTTGCCACACTGGGAACACTGATGAGGACGTACGCCGGTGTGGACTCGGCTGTGAGCCTTCATGTTCCCATAGCTGGAAAACGTCTTGTCGCACCACTGACAATTATACGGTTTTTCGCCAGTATGGGACCTCACGTGAACCTGTAAATTCTGCAGTTTGGGAAAATGTTTTCCACATATATCACAGGCATGCGACCGAAGTCCATTATCGTCATCTGCCACATCTTTTTCCGGGGATTTTGTGCTCTTTTGAGAGAGGTCAGGTCTGGGAGACTCGTCAATCTGAAGCTCACCCTCAGGTTCATCCTTACAGTTGTTATAGATGTGATAGGACAGTTTCTCCAGCTGGGAAAACTCTTTTCCACACAACTGACAAGAGATGCGTTGTTTGTAAAAGGAAATGGACGGCTCCGCTCCATCTTTGGTTTCTTTCTTTATGACAGTCTCCATTTTGATGCCGGCAGAGAAGGGGCTCGTCTCCCTGACAAAAAATAAACATAATGTGTGAGTAGGTCAACCATATGTATGGTACAGTAAGGGTTTCATAAAAAGATATGCATTCAGAATATGTGACAATTAGAGTGTGCCTGCGTGTGGGTGTCCACAGCATATGTCTGGTGTGTGTGTGTGTGTGTGTGTGTGTGTGCGTGCGTGCGTGCGTGAGTGAGTGAGTGAAAGAGAGAAAATGGGTGTATGTTGTGTGGGTATTGTGTCTGGGTCTGTAGTGTGTGTGCGTGCGTGCGTGCGTGCGTGCATATCTGTTTGGTGTGTGTGTGGCATATATATATATATATATGCACACATACCGGTATGTATATATGTATGTATATATATATATATGTGTGTGTGTGTATGGGTATGTAGGACGTGTGATGTATGTGTGTCTACTTTAGTAGCTAAGTGGTACTAAGTGTGTGTGCATGTGTGTCCGTATGTGTAGCGTGTATGTGTGGCATGTGTACAGTGTGTGTGTCAGTAGGAATGTGTTAGTGTGGGTAATGTGTGTGTGCATGAGTTTGCACAACCATTATTCTGGCTTTTTCAACAGCGCAAATGAACAACTATAGTTGTATAGTTTTTCAAACAGGTGAGACACAAACAGGTGAGACAATCACAGGTAATATCATCACCTGTTCACACATACTCCCATGTGCTTACGACCAAATAAAAAAATAAACCAGTATAAACATATATTTGTTTGTAGTTTAACACTGCACTCAGCAATATTCCCGGATACGATGATGTGTGTCAATCAAGTCAGCAAGCCTGACCACCCAGTCTTGTAGCTTGCCGCGAACGACATACATGGGTTGCTGAAGACCCCAGGGATTTACGGGACACAAATTTCTACGTCCTATACGCACAAAAACTGACAATGAACACAACGAAATTTATCAGCGCGTCCACAGGGATGCAGAAAAAGTCCAAATACTTTTTGTAAAAATTCCAATCAAGTAACAATAAGTTATCACTGAGTTTGCTACTAGCTGAGTTATGGTGTCATTTGCAATTTGATTACTTTAATAATTTAAGTGATGCTCATGATACACAATACAATAACAGTATTAATAATAATATTTAAGTGTCTGGGACCCCCATTTTATTGAGTATGAGTCCAAGGGACCCTCAAATACATATACAGGTATATCCCTGAGACCATTTCTAACCCGGATCATTAAAGGTCTATAAAGATATTAAAAATATGGTATGAATTCAAAATCTGAAACTCACTTCAAAGTTAGTCCAGTAATAGCACACAATTGTCAAATGAATTTCAAAGACCTCAACTTATTTACTCATCCCGAAATTACAGAAATCATTTGGCTGTTTTTTATCAACTATATTCAAAACCATCAAAAGAATATTTCTGACCAGGTTTGGAGCCTAAAACAATGAAATTAGTGACCTTAATACAATTATAACAGGCCTCTACACTGGATCCATATCACATCCTAGATGTCAGAGGATGAGGCTGTTATAGATGTTCCTGTGTCCAAGTGTTTCGAAGATGGAGTTTATTAGATATTCCAGGTTACAAGTGGTTTCCAGTAACCTGTGTAAGAGTGGACTCAGTGGACTTGTGTTCAGGCCTAGATTTATTGCTGTTGTTGTCATAGAAACAACGGATGTTCTTCTATAAGACCTATCTTAATACTATTTGGCATCATTACTTTTAAGGTACACTCTCACACCAGTATACAGTGAATGACAGGGGTGGAAATAACTTTAAAATTGCTAGTGTACTCCGGTACAGTGGCACATGTGAAATCGCTTGCCCTGATAATTTTTCACTGTACCGGCCGTTTTCTTGTTGATTTTTTAAATAAACAACATAATTAACATTGGAAAGTCAACTGGATGCCGGTACAGTGTGATATACGAATTTGCTTGCCCCACACAGAGACCATATACCGATATGGTCTCTGCCCGACAGAAAAAAACACTGGACTCGGACGTCGGGCAATGGGTTATTTCCACCCCTGAATGAGTATGGTTTTATGCCGCTTTTAGCAATATTCTAGCAATATCACGAATTGGGACACCAGAAATAGGCTTCACACATTGTACCAGTGTGGGGAATCAATCCAGGGTCTTCGGCATGATGAGTGAACACTTTAACCACTACCCTGCTGTACCCCCATTATACAAATATAATGCATATACAATGACACATAAAATGCTGAAGCTATTTCTACTTTGCTAAATTATATTTCTATCCTTTACCTAAACGTGAATGGAATAGTTTGGAACATAGATTATTGGATGCAGACTTCTATATTGTGGATAAAAAGTATCTTCTTAAACCTCTATCAGCCAAAATTGATTATTCCTTCTAATGAATGCGTGAAAACGCAGCCTGTTGCTATGTCAACAATGACTCTTCTCACATCTATATAGTTTGTTTTCACAGAGACCATATAATATTATTATATGGTCTCTGGTTTTCAATACCCATTGAACATTTTTTTAAATGAACTTCATTAAAAAATATTTCTGATATACTTTCCAAATATAATTTCACAGCCCCTACCAAGTGGATTCGAGTTTCCTTTAAACAACTTAAAGTAATTTTGTTCATATACCTGAAATATTTACTGAATAATTGTCATTTAAAATTTGACAAGCGGAGTGAGAGTACTCAACTATTTGTGTAGATCTATATGCCTTCTGTCTGCAGTGCAAAGGTTGCACAAATTAAAGTTCCTTATTAGATTTATCTGAAATATATCCAAACATCCTTACCGAATGCAAAGCTAAAAAATGAATGTTTTAAAAATACCCAAATATCTTTAACTTGTAACGTGTACATTTCGTGCTGTCATATGAATCCGTAACCGGTTTAATATCATACTTACTTTTAGTACAATTTCTAACGAGCTGGCCCTAATTACAGTATTTTACAATATGCAACAAAACAAATTAAGTAAACTAAACGTAAAATGGGATAGTTGTCGAATATACTTACGAAGTAGCACTTCCACTTTCCTGACCAGCCCAAGTCTGAACCAGACACCGATCTCAAATGTCAGGTCACCCAGGAATGTCAAAAGTGTAACCCTGTCCGAAACGAAGCTGTCGTGTCCATCAAAGATTCCGTTTTGAATTATATTTCAAACTGTAGTTAATTCTGAAGCACAATCCGTTCCGCACGTCATCTACACACAATATTCATTCATAGGGCATATTGGGATCCTTACTGGTGTCCTTTGAACCCAAAACAAAGCGAACTTAGCAGACGCTTTGTTCGGCCTCTGCTCGGGTCAATGCGTAAAAGCTCCCGAAGAAAATGCGAAGTCGGAACATTGAAATAAGGTTCCCCATTCCAATTGCTCCTCGTTGTCGACTAATATTCCCCGGAATGTTGTAGAACCTGACAAATATAGTCCCCCGGCCTCCAGGACACGACTTTCAGACCCAGACTCTTTGTCTAGAATGTATTCGTCATAAAGGCAATAACCATTATGATAATGATCATGATAATGTGTATAATAATGACTATCATCATGACTGCGCCATCTGAACATTATAGCCTGCGCTATAGCCTTTTTCAAAATTTATAACTTGCTGTGTTCTCGGTTTAGAAATTTGCACAGATGTACAATTTACCTACATTATGTGTTTAAATCATTCGATTTAGTATGAGAAACGTTATTCTTATTGTGTTGTAATTATTGGCATTTTAGAAACATTTTTTATGCACTTGATCAGTCGCCATATTTATTATTTACACATGTTTTGCTATCAATTTGTGAAAAAAATATTTTTGTTTGTTTGATTACGATTATTCACGTAACCCTGAAACATGTATCAGTTTTTCCACCTTAGCCTCTTCGGGAATGGCAAATGTGTTTTGAAATAGATATGATATATGATTTCGTGACTCGTGTAGAATATCCATATCCAAACAATAGATGTTCTTTCGGAACCGAAAAGGATTATAAACTCTAAGGCTGTACTTTTCTAAGTAGGCCTACTTAATCAAAATCAATGGATTGTTATTATGACGTCACACAGCTAACTACTGATCACGTCATGCCCACACTTTTCTGTTTATTTTTGGGATGTTTATGACACCCTAAAGCTGTACATTTCTAAAAGTACTAATCAAAATCGAGTGATTGTTAGTGTGACGTCACACTACTGATGACGTCATACGTACCGATATGAGGATGTTACATCTAAATGTTTCTGCATATTTTTGTAAACAATATACCAACATCTCAGGCTACTTCAAGGAAAAGCTCATGCTTGCCACAAAATGCGACTATGCTTGTCGTAAGAGGCGACTAACTGGATCAGGTGGTCAGGCTCGCTGACTTGGTTGACACATGTCATCGTTTCCCAATTGCGCAGATCGATGTTCATGATGTTGATCACTGGATTGTCTGGTCCAGACTCGATTATTTACAGACCGCCGCCATATAGCTGGAATATTGCTGAGTGCAGCGTAAAACTAAACTCACTCACTCAAGGAAAAACAAATCTTGATTCGCGGATGTAAACAAGGTGCCACTGAAAGGCATTAGTTTACCTTCTGCTCAGTCCTTTCTGCAATGCTAAAGCTGTAAATGAAGCAAGTCTAGATTTCATCAGGTTCTGACAACCCCAAACACACACACTTGGGCTACTTTTCAATTCAAATGTAATTATTTGTTTCTATGGAAACTATGTATCTTCAGAGGCTAAGTGTTATCCTAAATGCGCCCTTAGGTCTATATACTCACACAAACGCAAAAAAAAGAACAAGAAAGAAAAATGGATTGAAGTCTTTGAAATCAATTTTTATGCATTGCTAAAATTTACAATAACACCTTCATAGACTGCATATTTAAGCGTTACAAGCTACACAATACTACACCAGCCATATGTTTTAACGCACCACAGCTCGCCTTTATGTTGATAATTCTAGCCAATCTGCAACAAGCATGGTTTGTGTAATCACCTGCACATTAAGCTGTTGTTGACTGTTTGTTGTTGCAT